TCTTAATTCTCCAAGATAGGAAGAAAAAAAATAATGCTAATAATAAAATACTGTTAAGACACAATTTGATAAAAATTAAATTTTTCCTTATAGGAAAAATCAAAATAATGTTCTGGAATGTATAATGGCTTTATAATCTCTGAGTATTTTAGGCTAAAATCCCAATTTATTTTTTCATTTACTGCTATCTTTTTCCAAAATTAACAAACTTTAATATTTGCATTTTTGTTTACCTAAGGTTTTATAGAGATTTAAAAAAACATTAATTTCTTGGGAACTTCTAAAATGTGTACTGTATATAATGTTTATATACATACATCATATAATGCTCCAAAGGTTGTCATAATTGGGATTGATAGTGGAGACAATCTCCCACTGTTTATAAAATGCTTCTGTGGCATGCATCTCAAATAGCCTCTGGCAATTAAGTCCAAGATGGAGAATGGAAGGCAGACAACTGGTGCCTCATGACCAGCTGCTTCAAGTAAGATGAAGCTCAACAGCCCAGGAAGGCAGTTCATGTAGAAGAAAGAAAATCACTGCTGCCTTGCGGTCATATCCAAATAAGGAAAAAGTTATGGAAGTAAATTCAGACAGAAAATTCGGAGTGAAGCTGCTAAGACAGTTGGTTGTCAATACTGTCAATTTTCCAGCAACTCCTGAAGCAAAGCCAGCCCCAAATGTAATGCCCTATATTCCTTTGGATCTTGTTGGTAGGGCCGAAATAGTCTGGGAAGCCTCCATATAACAGCACTCAGGCCAGCACCCTAGAGTGGACATTCCAGTCTCACCATCAGAGGACTGAGTTTTGATCAAACATGGTCGTACTTTTATCTTGTGGGATAAACGGATACCAACTATGTATAATTTAAAATAAAAAGAAACAAACTTCTACGATATTTAAATTTGAGATACAAAACATAGAACCAGGAAAATTATATGGTAACTTTAAATCAAAGGATAATAAATTTTTGTAGACAAGAGCTTCATTGATATCACAATCTAGAATTTATGTCACAAAATGACTACTGGAATTGCATATTTTATTTGAAAAAATAACTTATTTCTTTCAAGATAAATTTAAGATAATGTGTTTAAATGAACATCACATTTGGAATGTTCTTTGATTAAAGTAATCTTACCATATATATATATATATATATATATATATATATATATATATATATATATATATATATATGTGTGTGTGTGTGTGTATATATATATATATATATATTATATTCAGATACAGTGTATCTGTAGAGGAAACAAAATGAATAAAAAAGAAACAAGAGGAAAAAACTATACTTAGCTAACATGTTTCATCCTCTGAGGGATTTTATCAAGGCAATGTAGAATTTATTTTGCTGCACGTGTTTATATATAAAAGGTGAGGTCATCGGTTTATCAAAGCTTTTAAATATGATAAACCTCCATCTTATACCATCACAATCTCAACAATATTCTTTTATAAAAAGAAGGACCCCCACCCCAAAAAAAAACTCTTGAATATTACTTGCTCACTTTTGCCTGAATTTGAATTATGACACTTTGTGCCCTCCACATGCTTTGAATGACTTTTCAACCACCTGATAAACATTCATGAATGTTCTCAAATTTAAAAGCCTTGATAAACCGACAACCTCACCTTTATATATAAACATGTGCAGCAAAATAAATTCTACATTGCCTTGATAAAATCCCTAAGAGGATGAAACATGCCATCTAAGAATAGTTTTGCTTGTTTCTTTTCATTCATACACACACACATATATTTGTGTGTGTGTGCATAGAAAAGTGTGGAGATTGTCTATCCCTGATAGTGAGCCCTTTTATATATAAATATAGCATACCATAAAACTATATTTTTTTACTATATATATATATATATATATATATATATATATATATTGTCTACTTTCAAAAATGTTAAGTGTATTTGAAACATGGCTGTCAATTCTATAGAGAAACATGTTTGCTTAAAACTTTGATGGCATAAAAAAAACAAATTCCTCAAGAAGATTCCACTTTTAATGGATTAACTTTTGCAAAAACCTTTTTTTTTATAGATGAGAAGTAAAAAATTCAATAAAAGATAAAGATATAAAAAGAAAAAAATATTTGGAAACTAAAGGTTTGAATTTGAACTACTTTGAATTTGCAACTGAAATCCATAAAATATTCATTTAAATGAAAAACCTCTGCCACTAATTGCTCATACTTACTATAGAAATAAAGAATATATCAGAAGAGAATGATATTGGAACACTAATTTCTAATAGTCCTCTTTATGAAACACCATTCTGGAGATCAATAATGTCACATTTTTTTCAAAGTTGCATTTTCTTACTTATTAACCAATCTGAAATACTCTATGGAATATTTCAGATCACTTGATAAGTTACAAAATAATATTTAGGCCAACTGATTGATTGATTAATGCCTTTAGATTAAAAGCAAAATAAAGTCATTTGTACAAAGTATAAAAAGGCAGCTAATGTAGAGACAAGCACATCAAAATTTAAAATTATCTTCTCTTCATCGTGTCTAATTCATTTTGAGCCCAAGAATTGAGGTTATGTAAGCATCCAAGGGAAAGTAAATCTGTTTAGAGTTTTCCTAAGATTGTTTATTCAAAACTCTTTGACTTAGCATAGAATTAATGATCTTCACAAAAGTTTAAAAAAAAAGAAAAGATCTATTTTTCAAGTTTAAAATAACTTCTTCACCATTTTTGCTTGCATATTTAGAGCTTATGTTCAAATTTGACTCAAATGATATTTTATCTTATGTGAAAACTTCAAGGAAAAAAAATATATATATAAAAGCCTTATTCCAGAAATAATACATCTCCGGATTCAAAAATTTATTTTTACTAAAAAAAAAAAATTAGATAAAAAATAAATATGTGAAAAAATATCTTTCCATGATATTACACAGTAAAAATATTTTATAAATTACTGTACAGAAGCTAAAAAAAAATATCACAAATTTTTTTTTTTTTTGATATGGATAAAAAATTTAAGCCATTTGACAATTCTCATATAAACTGATTAAAAGAGGATAGTTAAGTTTTATTTTCAGTTAACAACATTGCCTCCTCGTTTTTATCTAATTTTTCAACAGAAACTATATAAGAACATTCACGTGTGTTTGTGCATGTGTGTAAACCTAATGATAACAAAAAATGTGCCTCTCATGTCGGCCAACTTCATGCCAAAGGTTTTACAGGTTTGTTCAGTTTAAAGAGCCATATCCATTCAAGGCACAACTGACTCTTAAAATGATATCTTGTGAGGGTCATATTCGACATTGAGGTGGCGGCCATCATATATACACACACATACACATATACATACGAGCATAAATACAGTGTCATACTTATTCACACAGAGAGTACATTAAAAATAAAATAAAAATCTCCACTTTGAACCAATCAAAGAATTACCAACCATCTGGATTTAAGGATTAATTCTCAATAAAATAACTTCATCACCTCTAAATACATGATTTCTGTTTCACTTAATGGAAGGATTAGTAATAAATGAAATTAACCCCCAAATAATAATGCTAAAAAGGAATGGGGGGGATCAGGTGGGAGAAATATGAATTTGGATATATGGAATTCTTATGATGTTACCTCTGTGTGTGATTAAGTGGCTTGTATTATCTAGTTTGGATATGTAGAATACAATGAAACAACAGTTAATGTAGACCGGAACACTACAGTGTGAGCCTCACTGAGGAGAGTCATCTTTTTTTTTTCTTTTTTTTTTAAGAATGAAGTTTTTTTTTTTAGGTTGTGGTAGTGGTAGCAGAGACAGTGGCAACAGTAACTTGTTCTGGTTACAGAGAAACCAACAAGAGAAGTATTGGCAAAGCATATACATACATTCCCTATACACATTATATACATCCAGTTTCATATATATATATATATATATATATATATATATATTTGCAAGTTTCATTAAAAATGACTGTAAAGGTGTTGTGGTTAAGTTTATTATATAATATTTCATGTGTTCTTATAACTTTTTTTGCTTTTCTGGATGTAAATTATATAAAAGTTTATGCAAAAGTTTTATATGTCCGAGCACTTTTGGTCATTACCAAGGATGAATTTTATTTTTACTTTTATCTGAATGTATGGATTGTTTTATATATGTATCTAGAGTTATAGGAATGTTTTATTTTCCAAGCACTAGTATATGCCTAGACTCACATTACATCTCTCTGAACATAGCTCAATGATGTCTCATTTAAATACATATAGACACCTACCAAACTCTATCTGCAACATACTTGTTGATAATACAAATATAATAGCATCATCCACATGTAAAAAAAGGCTAAAAATAATGGAAGCATTATTAATAAAAAAAGAAAAAGCCAACACACAATAACATCAACTATGAACACAGCCACAATGTGCTGACAGTGTTTGGAAAATAAAACATTCCTGTAACTATAGATACATACATAAAAATATTCATACATTCAGTTAAAATTAAAAATAAAATTCATCCTTGATAATGGCTAAAGGTATAGTCAAAAGTGTTCAGACATATAAAACATTTGGACAATTTTTATATAATTTACATACAGAAAAAAAAAAAAATTATAAGAACACATGAAAAATTACATAATAAACTTAATCACAATACCTTGTCAGTCATTTTTAATGAAACTTGGATAAAAGAGGGATTGCTGCCCAAATACACAAATATATATATATATATATATATATATGCACTTATGCTCAGTTTCACACATAGATACATATTTATATAGAAGGTGGGAAAGTCAAATATTAAAAACTGCAGGTAAATCTGACCCACAGCACCTGGCAGTCCTGACAGTGCTACATATTTCTCTGATGGAGAAAAAGGAGCTCCATGCACTGCCGCCAACTGCCAAAGTTTGAATTTACTCTTCTTTACGAATACAGTAAAATTGTTGGTCAGGCTTCCAGTTCCAAGACAGCTGTTCACTTGAAATCATACTTCTCTGAAATAACAAGAAAACACATTTTTAAATGATTTAAAAAAAAATATTTGCATACTTATCTGAAAGGAATTTCATACAAAGTAAATATAACATGAAAATAAACTTTTCAAGTTTTGAACAAGTAAACTGTATGATACAAAGTTGTGACAAAAAATGCTGATATATCAACCAAACATTCCAATAATTTCATATTATATATATACATATATATACACAAATACACACACTAAACAAGTAAAATAACGTAACCAACCTAAGAAAAAAAAATAAACAAAAATATCTAAAAAATAAACACACATATATAAGTAAATAATAAACAAATTAAAAAGCTACAAAACACTTGTAATAATAATAAATAAATAATTAAATAATAAATAATGTGAAAAAATTTAACAAACAAAACTATAAAATAGCTACAAATAATCACAATTATTTATACTCAATAACCTCAAGAATAATGTGAAATGTAACTGTTACCGCCTACTTAATAAACATTAGGATAATACAATAAACATTGTTATTCACAATGCATCACAACAATCCAGCCAACACACATGGTCTGAAGATTGTGTTCAAGCATGAAACAGACAGCCACCATTTTGTGTTGACATCAGTATCAACTTTTATATTTACACACACACTATACCTGAGATTGATCACTTTTACCAATAAATATAGCATACCTTATATATATATATATATATATATATATATATATATATATATATATATATATATATTTTTTTTTTTTAACTCTATTTTGTCCCAAGCAAGGCAGTAAAGTCACTAAGACACAAGAAGTTACTGGGTGTGGAATAATTAGAAACAGAAGCATTACTAATGAGCTGGAACAAAAAGAGTAATCAGGAAGGCAGTAGATAGTGATTGATATTGCATCTGAATTTTTGAAGACAGACACACACACACATATATATATATATATATATATATATATATATATATATATATATGCTGAGGTGATCAAGTACATCCTTGTTGATAACAGACTTAAAGAGTTTCCTAATGATATTAGAGAGGGGATGATATTGAGAGAGATTAATTTCCCATGACAAACAATTTCCACAAACTTGGTAAGCCTTTCTTTTTCAGGCAATAGTTAAACAACTTTTCCAGGTTGGAGAGAATTCCGGTAAAAGTTTCTTGAAAACAATAGGGATTTTATCTGAACCAGCAGACTTTATCAAATCAAGGTTTTATGATGAGTTTGGTTTCTGATGTTCTGTGTTGTTTATTCTAACAACCATTTGTTGCATACCTGTTCTCAAATTTTTTCCCCTTTTTCTTTCTAAACATTTTGAATAATTGTTCATTACGAGTTTGTGTTAATACTTTTTTTCATTTAAACTTAAAAATGAAATCTTTGAATGTGTGTCTGGTGTAATGGTGAGTGGATTGGAATGAGTAATTGCTGAATTGAGTCTATTACATTCACTTCTGTACAAATTTTGGGAAAAGTCTCAATTCATCTCTTCTCCCTTGACCTATGGGTTAAATAGCAGGGGAAATTGCACTCTTTAGCTGTTGTGGATGGCAAACAGTCTAAGAGAATTCAAAACTGTATGTAAACCTGGTGTAATACAAACTATGGTTCCATTGAAAGATTGTGGATTTCACAATGACTCCATGATCTTGATTGTGGTTGATGTGATAGAACAGAAATCTTTGCCTAATGTAGGAAATAAAAGTACTAAAATGCACCAATATTCATATAAAAAATATATATTATACAGTTTTTGTCTACAATTCTATTGTGTCAATTGTATGGTTCAGTAAGTTTTGATTTCAAGTATGAATACAAAGACACCAATATTTCCATCTTTCATAAATATATATATATTTATTCATTTGCCTAACATTGTACTGATGTATAGATATTTATATATCATATTCATAGTTTGCCTAAGTGTTAACTCATCCTACTCTCTTCTCTATGAACAATTGTGGCATACCAGTGACAAAACATTTTAACAAATCTAAAAACAAGATAGAGTATAAGGAGAAATAGATTAATGTCTTCCTCAATTGGAATCATGGAAAATGAACATAAACAACTTTGGCTGGATGGCTCACCAATTTTATTTTCTACACTGAGAATCATTACAACTATTCACACTTACCTGTATATTAAGTTTTTATATATAAATACAATAATAAATAATACGCACTGTTAAAATATCGGTAATAGCCTTTAAGAAATCTCATACAATTTTATATAAGATTCATAAAATTCTTCAGTCGAAAGACTGAGTTATCTCCCTTAGTTTTTTTTCTTTTTATATTGTATTCAAGATGATCAGATTTTGTAAGATTGCATTTTTCAAACTTTCAATAACAAAATTTTTTTCATTAAAATTTTCAATATTACATTTAAGAAATAAAATCATTAACCTACAGTATTAAATTAGTTAACCTCCTTTACAGTTATTATTTTTATTTTTTATAAAGTTGCAAATACAGAACAAAACACTTGACATTAATTCTCTACCTTTTATAATTTAATGAAAATAGTTTCTGGCAAAGATCATGAGAAACAAAAAAGAATAAAAGAAACTAGTCAATGATGTTTGAGTTTGCTCAAAATAGAAGAATCATTGGTAGTATGAGAATTTTCAATTTTGTAAGAAGATACAGGAATGGAAAGATTAATGGTGCTATAATTTGTTGTAGCTTTCAATCAGTAGAAAGCAAAATTAAGAGTTGCAACTTCTGATGAATAGAAAGACTAAATTAAGTTCAACAAGGCAAAAGGAGAGAACACTATTTGGAAAGACCAGTCTAGACAGAACTGTTATATTTGGATCAGGATGGTGGCATACCTGATAAATGAATTTTACAATTGCTAAATTGTCTTTTACAATGCCCAACTACAATAAGCTGGACAAGTAAAGCTGGGGTTAGTACAAGAGATTGTTGATGCAATAATTTATTTTGCATAAGATAAATTATATTGTATTATTTCATCCATTTTAATTTGAAATTAATGGTTATTTTTTTTTTTAACAATGATGTTCATCTTGTACAAGTCCCAAGAGCCACTCAAAGCAGAAGATTATAGTTTAAAGGCACTATTTATGGGGATATGTGTGAAAGATAATGGTTGACCCTAGACTTGAACAGGTTAAGATTACAGTGATTGGGGAAGCGTCCTCTTGGAAATTGGCTCCAAAAAGCAGCAGTTTGTGTAAGATGAGATCTAAATGTTTAGAGAAATTAATGTAAATGAAATACTAATAAAGAGAAAAAAATAGTAATTCCTTTTATATTTTCCTCTTCAATGCTTACATATTGCAAAATTATCAGAATAATGTCATTAAAAATAATATAACATCATTTTGAAGTGAAAATACAGATTTATCTGCCCTTGACCATTTTTAAGAAGAAAATAATCCTGCAAAATGGATTTGTCTCTTCAATGTTTGCATATTGCCAGATGACCAGATTGAAATTAATATAACACCATTACACAGATTTATCTGCCCTTGAGCATTTGTAAGAAGATAAAGAAATGTAAACAAATTTTGTTAAATTCAACTGGCAAAGTTTATCTGCTTGATTTTTTTTCCCCTTATAATATAATGTAAAACACTATCAAACATTTTCAAGATGTCCAAAGAAACAACCTGAGCTTTACCAGTTTTATCCAAATCTTGATAGACTTTCAGCAATAATAGTTAGCACATCAGCAGCTGACTTATATGAGCTTAAGCCATATTGCTTGTCTGGAAGAAGGCCCTGCAATGTGAGATGTTTAATCAATAGAGTTGGTTTCTATCTCTCTCTCTCTCTATATATATATATATATATATATATATATATATGATATATATATATAAAGTGAACATTGAAGTCAACACTTAGAGGCGACAGGCTATTTCATGCCAGAAATAATCGTCAGGCCACCTGATGATTGCGTCCAGCATGAAACAGCCTGTCGCCTCTGAGCGTTGACTTCAATGCTCACTTTTATATTTATATTTACATATGCTCTATCTCTGATATTGAGCACTTTGTCCCATAAATATAGCACACCTTAAAACGACATTTCTTTATATATATATATATAATTATAATATATCGCACATATAGTGCTGGTGTTAATAAAACAGTGCTCGATGTAGTACAACAGAGCTATTGAGTATATATTAATAAATATACATATCCCTCATTGATAGCACAACTCGGAGTTTTATGCACAAAGCAATCTTCAGATGTTGAGTATAGACTGGCCATTATGTAATTTAAATTTAAAAAATTAAAGATCCCCAACTTTTTGTTATGATCCACTCCAGGATCACCTCATCAGTGATGTTATTGACTTGGGGTCATAACAAGTTTTGGGTCTTTCAGCATCATACCTGTTTTCCCAAGCTGAAACAATATCTATTCTGGCAGGTAATCCTGGAACAAATGCCAACCAAGCACACAATAATGAATAGCTCATATAAACAACTGCAACTGCTGATTTGGAATAGAAAGAGATCAATGAGAAAAAACCTATGTCACTTCTCACTCTGCCACAATGAGACAAAATAGTAACACTACCATCAATACTAAAGTGATTAACTTTCTTGATGTGACCATAGGCTTGAATAATGGTTATTACAAACTATATACAAAAGATCTCTATAACCATAGATACGTCAGTAAAGAATCAAACCACCACCACAAAATTCTAGGCAATTAACATAAATCAGTCCAAGTTAGATTACCTACCAACTCCAAGCAATAAGGAAATATTTGATAATAATAATAAAATTAAATATATAAAGGCTTTAGAACTGAGCGATCATAAAATAAATTTAGAGTATTTAGAAAAAAAAAAAAAAGAAGGTAAAAATAAACAGAAAGCATAACATATGGTTTAATCCACTTTTTAATCATAATGTTCAAACTGATATTGGAAGAATTTCCTAAATTTAATCCATAAGCACTTTAACAATTCACCATCACTAAAAAAGATTTTTAACAAAAATAATGTTAAGATCAGTTATAGTTGCATTAATAACATAGACAAGAGCTAAATTATCTTCATTCCCTTTATATTCCATTGGTAAAGAGGAAGTTTCACTCAGACAGGTTCTTTCCAAAAACTGTTACTTTGTAGAACAGACTCCCAAGAAGATGCTTCCACAATCACTATGATGTTAACCTCATCAAGATTCAGCCATTATCTATCTTACATATCTTCACTTCTTGCTTCTCTATGACAAACTTATTCAATAACCCTCTAACTTGAGTGACTCTTGGACCTTCTATTGTGTGAACAATAGTAATAAAAAAATAAAATCACACACCTCATTCAGTAACCATCTACCTTGATGGTTCTTGGGCCTTGTATTGAGTGAGCATTTAGTAAAAACATAAGTATGTCCACAGCAATGGATATGTTAATTGTAAACACCTTTGCTTATTTTTATTTTCTATATTTTGTTATTACAGTGTTTTTCAAACAATTCAGATAACACCAAAAATGCAACGTGAAAAATTTCATTAAAGACAGATCAAATGACAATGAATAAAATTGGAAAATGAATACTTACGATTCATTGGTTGTATTCAACAAAAGATATTTCTTGATATTTAAGATTTGAGCAGCTGTTAATCCAGAATAGTTTATTTTATCTGGCAGATCTACTGAGGAAATACCATCTTTCATTTCACTCGGTGTAACATCTTGCAACAAAAGAGCAATGTCCGACATAGACTTACTTCGGCTATCAGTGTTCAAACTCAGTGAATTATTAGAAGCTCTTGTTTCTAATGTTGTTGTTGTTTCTGCCTCTGGTGTCTCTTCATTTTCGTTGCTTTCATGGTCAGGACCCAAGTGAGACGAGCCAGTTGAGCTGACCCCACTTGAGCTGGGTATACTGTCTGAGCTCATGTGTTTGGAGAGGATTTGTTTGCTGTCATTTTTTGCTGATCCCAGATTCCAAGAGAACCGTTTGTGAATTGAATTATCTCCAGGTTCTTGCCGTTTGAGTTCTTGAATTGAGTCTGCAGTGAAATACCGTTTTTCAGTCTTTCGATTCCGATCAACTTTACTTTTCAACTCCTCACTTATGGCACCATTGTTCCATGTCAGATTGGAACAGACCGAGTGACTGGTTTTCATTTCAGTATTCAGTAGAGACAAAGACTGGTGTTCAGGAGATGGACTCTGACAAACAATCATTGGACTGACTGATTGTTCGGGGATATTGTCCCGTTGTCTTTGCTTTTGAAGGGGTGCAAGAGCAGCTGGACGGTCCTTATTACTTAGTTTTGGAGAGAGACAAGGGTCCATTGTTTTTTCGGCTCGTCCATGTAGTAAGGGGAAATTCATCTGAGAGTTCTTTGGAACTGTCTCAATCATGCCATCTGACTCTTCGTTTTCAACATTGAGTTGCTGCCGATGAATTGAAGCAGCATGCAAGGCTACAGTGTACATTTGCTGAAAGAGAAGCCCCAAAGTTTTGTTTTAATCAAAGAAATAAAAACAAGGGAAAATAAAATGGCCTCTCATTTAGAAATACTGTATTATAGAGGAAGTCGGTTATTGTGATCATTTCGAATATCTCTTAGATAACAATAACTAGCTGATAATCTTTACAAATAACTTTACATTTTAAAGGAATTATTATTATTATTAATAATAATAGTAGTAGTAGTATTAATATGAGCAGTAATAGTACAGAGGAAGCTATTTTATTGAGATCGCTTTGGAGAAGATACAACCTTGTAGATAACAAAAGCTGCCTGATAACATGAAGCAAAGGACAGGGGAAAAAATTTAAACAATTTTTTTTTTTTTAAGCATTTCACCCCAAGCAAGGCAGGAAGCCACGAGGACGCAAGGGGTTACAGAAGATTTGGAGCAAGATCAGATAGGAGTGATAGAAGAAAGGATGAGGAGAAGGGTAGTGGATAGATCACGGCAACTGGAGATGCCGATTGACATTACATTTGAATAGTTGGAGATTATAGCTCTCAGGGAAATAGGAAAAGGGAAGGGAGTTCCACAGGTGAGAGGTGCAAGATATGAAGCTATTGGAGTAGAAGAGATGGCTACATTTAATAGTTTCCACAGTGAAAGGGTGAGAGCGGGATGCCAGCCTCGTAGGGCGCTTGAATTCATGAAGTCTGGGAACCAGCGAATGCAGCTCCTCAGAGCAATTACCATGAAAGTATTTGTAAAAAAGACAGAGAGAGGCGATGGCACGTCTATGAGAGAGTGACTGTAGACGAGATGCCAGAACAGGGCCAATTTGCAATCATTGTTATTAAATTTGTTTTTATAAACAACTTTAAATTATAAATGAATTATTATTAGTAGTAGTTTGTGATCAGTCTAGAAAGAAAGGTTTTTATATGAGATAATTATTATTAGTATTAGTAGTACAGAGGAAGCCACATATTATTGTCACTTTGGGGAAGACAGGGTCTTTTAGATAACAAAAGTCACCTGATAACATTAAGCAAAGGAGAGAAAAAGATTGGAACAATTTGCAGTCATTGTTATTAAATTTTTATAAAAAATTTAAATTATAAACAAATTATTATTAGTAATAGTATAGAGGAAGCCACTTATTGTGATCAGTTTAGAAAGAAAGGTTTGTTTTTTTTTGTTTTTTTTTAGATAACAATAACCAGCTGATAACATTAAACAAATCATATAAAAATTAGAAGAAATTTAGTCATTATTATTTAATTCATCTTTAGAAATAATTTTACATTATAAACAAATTATTATTAATAGTAATAGTAGTATTAGTAGTAGAAGCAGCACTACTAGTATTAGTAATATAAAGGAAGCCTCTTATGATTACTTTAGAAAGACAGGCTCTTTTAGACAGGAAATCACCAGGTGATAACATAAAGGAGAGAAAAATTATAACAATTTACAGTCATTGTTATCAACTGAATTTTTATAAACAACTTTACATCATAAACAAATTATTATTAATAATAATAATAATAGTAGTAGTAGTAGTAGTAGTAGCAGCAATATAGAGGAGGCCGCTTATGATTACTTTAGAAAGACAGGAGATCACAAGGCGATAACATTAAATAAAGGAGAGAAAAATTGTAACAATTTACAATCATTGTTATTAACTGAATTTTTAAAAACAACTTTACATTTTAAAGGAATTATTATTATTAATAATAGTAGTAATATTAATATGAGCAGTAACAGTACAGAGGAAGCTACTTATTGTGGTCACTTTGGGAAAGGCACACACTTTTAAATAAGAAAAGTCAGTTGATAACATTAAGCAAAGGATAGAAGCGAATTGGAACAGTTTCATTGCTACAAAGTTATTCATCTGATCACATCATTTGAACACTTCTAATTGCAACAACAAAAATGGCTACTCTTAAGCTTAATAGATGGAAGTGGGGATGTCTATTATTTGAGGAAATTTTCTGACAACCCCATTTATTAATTTCATACTTTTTGATCTTTTAAATGATTTTTTGACCTCCTTTTTACTAAGAACTTCTCCCCATTTATCATATATTGAGAAAAATTCTGACCCTCACCAATTACTAAGAGCCTCCAGCCTTAGTCACTTAAGAGAAGCGCATGTAACTAAAAGAGAAAATAATGATATGACCAAAATATGTATATATTTTGTTATATTCTTTAATATAGGGGAGTAAAAAAAAGATAACAAAATAGAAAAAAATTTTTTTGTGACATGTGTTGTCCTTTAGGACTTCATTGGACTAAATTTGTTATGCTGGTGTAACTACACGTATATGAATGAGGGATGCTGGGAATTTTAAATTAATTTTTTTTTCTTTTAATCTGGCTGATTTCATTTAGATTCTTTTTCTTTCCATCACTTTTATTAGTAGATATCCCCCCACACACTGTGTTAATAAAAGTTCTGCCAGAAATGGTGAAATTTTGTAAGACCCTGAGCACAAATTTACTGCAGACGACCTTGTGATCAAGGCGTTCTCTCAACATTTTTGTCATAGTGAATTGTTTTCTTCTTTGATCAGAGTAGTATGTTTTTATGTCAAAATTGTGATCAATATATATCATTATTTCATTCTTTAATAAATAAATAATTATTTAGCTTTAGAATTTAACTAATAATATTTAATATTAATATTATTTTATTAATATTTATTCTAATAATATATAACTTTCAGAATTGAACTTTCCACAATACCAAAAACAACACAATCAAAAGTAAATGCCAATCAATTTTAGAAAGAGCTATAACATTTAGTAAACTTGAGAAGATGAATTTCCTAAAACAAAATATTTGAAAGATGATTTTATAAATTTCTACTGACAGTAACACTTAACTGTTCAGTGAATGAATGCTGAATATTTCCAATACAGAAATGGTTAATCTCACCATTGGGATTACCATGATAGATTTTGTTTCAGTTGAATTAAGAAAAGCTATAGAATGCACCAAATATAACAGGGAAATAATTGTGTATTATTAGAAGCAAAAATAATGAAATAATCAAGCAGTTAACTTTCCACACTAACAAAAACAAAAGGTTTGAAAGTAAACTCCCATCAATATTAGAAAGAATCAAGTGGACTTAAGTCTAATTTCCTGAAAAACTATTTTAATAAAAAGATTTGAAAAATTTCAACTGACAGTAATGCTAACTGTTTAGTCAATGAATGCTGAATGTTTTCTGTATAAAAAGGGACAATTTCACCATTACCATAATTCACTAAATGTCTTTTATGTCTGTCATTATGTAACTCAAAGACGGCTAGAGATACTGCCAAAATTTTTTGGTCAATAATGGAACCATTAGGCATGATTTAAAATGTTTGTTTTATAATGTGCAGGTAGTGTAATGGTTATTGGTACAGAAAGGGAAATCGGTGACAGGAGTTCAAATTCTCATCTAGATTGTTTCATTCATCTTTACACATGCCTTTGGGAAAGACATGTATCCATCTATTATCCTCCTAGCACACAGGGTAGAATGTGCCTGCTTGTTCTGAATGGCAACCAATCGAGGAGAAGGTCAACTTTGAATTCAAAACTGTGGAGAAGATAATGGGGAACCACTACACTGTCTTCCCAAGAAGTCATGGCAATTCACAGATACTCCAGGCCTCCCTCATAATCCCCACCGTAACCCCGTTTTGTTGATCTTCCATTCAACCAGATTCCAAGAGACATTCCACCTTATCAATCTTTATCCACTTCAGGTCTCCCTCATCATCATCACCACTGTGACCTATATCAATCCTGCCAACCAGTAGTGGGATTCAAAAATTTTAAGAATGGGTTCTCTCAATAACAGGTCTCAATAGCAAGGGGCTCCCTCATTTTTCTATAGTCTATACTTTACTATATAGATATAATTTAAGAATAAAGCAAATTTTTCTTGCACTTATTCAAAAATACCAAAATCAATCTGCATTACATTGCACGTTATCATTTTGAAAGGAAAAATAATTAAAAGAAATGCTTTAAAATTCATGATCTTTCATTTTAAAAATTTCCAAATAACCACTTGATTGTCATTATAGTTTTCACCTTTTTTTGTCTCATTCAGTTGCCATCAGCACTGTGATTTTTTTCTAAGCCGGTTTTAACGAAAGGAGTGGCATCTCATAAATCTAAAGGGAGACCAACAAAAGTAATTGTCATCAAGTTTGCTGCATTTTCCACTGTAAGGCGGCTTCTTTTATCCGAGTATATAATATTTATGCTTGAAAAACCTCTCTCTGCCTCGGAAGAACTGATAGCAATCATATTGGTAAAAGTTTTTGCTTTTTGTACACTTTGAGGAATTACAGGATTATGAAAATTTTTCAGGACATTTTCCACATGAAAACATTCAGCTTTTTTTCCAGATTTCTAAGGAATAACTATTTCTTGAATATTCCAAATATGTCTGGCTCTAGCATGTTCAGCAGATCATGAAATTTGTATTAACCTTTATTTGATCACCTGAATTTACATCTCCAACTGATTATGTGACTACAATTTGTAGACAATCTTGGCAGTTTGTTCCAGTTGCAGTTATCAAGGGGTTCACTGCGCTCATAAAATTCCAAGAACAGGTTCATGTGAACCTGCTAAATCCCACCATGGCTGACAATGGATCTTATCTGACAGTTGGCTTCAACATCTTGGCATCATATGAGTGCCAGCCCATCAAACACCTCACAGGTGCCGATTTCAACCCTGTGGAAAGGCATACATCAAACCCCACCAACAACACTATACTTAGCTTCAATAATCTGCTACAGACCTTTCTCCTGACACGAAATGTGACCTTGGCCAACCAACCTAAGAAAATGGTCAACTCCCAGAACAACACCCTCACACCTAATCATTTTCCTTACCAACAACGGCTAAAGAGCCACATATTAACAATTTGTGCTACTTTTCAAACAACTATATATATATTCCAAAATTTGATAAATACATGCTGTTGAAATTTTAATCCTTGTTTGTTCTTTACTTTGCAACCATACACTCATAACATTACTTACATTTAGAAGTTAAGTAAAATGCTAAACTAGACCTTCATTTTGTGTCCATCATGTTAACTAAACTGAATCTTAATTATTTTTGTTGTTTAATTATATCAAGGAAGCATTGAGCCTAGCTTACAGTCAAATCATGCTGAAAGAATCAGTTCTTGTTCAAGCAGTATCAAGCTTTGTCAGTACCTAGATGGAGACTGGTTGGGAACATTGGGTACTGAAAGTGACCTCCTACAATCTGAAATATGATTCAGCTTCAAATAATCTAAAAAGGGTTGATAAGCCATAAAAAAAAAAATCAATCAATCCAGAAGCTAAAGTTATGTTTTTTATATGACACTTTCTCTAGAAAATCAAGACTTAAAAACATCATGTCACTGTGTTTATATTTATAGTATAATGATAACCAGGTGCCATAAACATTAACTCCATGACAATATTTAAGTCCTCATAAATCATAAATCAGTGTTATGTCAGTTTCTTGCTGAAATTAAAAAAAATGGGATGGATAAACTTATGGTCATCTTATGCCACAAATCTTCATGAAAAGCAAAAGAAAGGGGCTTAAAATGTTATTTATATCTGAACTAATGCCTCCATTTTTGTTGTCATTGTCACAATACTTAAGCCACTATATCCTCTGGCATTCTTCAGGTGTCTGTCAATCTGGCTAACTTTCAGGTAATTTGAAATTTATTTAATCTACAAGGTTAGATTGTTCTCATTCTACTGTACATATCTGGAGATACCTAATCTTGTTCTTATTTAGTACAGATAACTTACCGCTTGTTCTTTTTCAGCTGAACTACTTTTTTCTTTTTTAAGCATTTCACCCCAAACAAAACAGGATGCCACTAGCATGCAAGGGGTTACAGAGAGTGGGAATGAGAAGAGGAAAGAATGAAGAGAAGGACAGGGAATAGATCAAGGCATCTGGAGATATCGATTGACATTACATTTGAATAGTTGGAGATTAAAGCTATCAGGAAAATAAGTAATAGGAAGGGAATTCTACAGACAGGAGGTGCAAGACATGAAGCTATTGGAGTAGAAGAGACGGCTGCATTTAACTGTTTCAACAGTGAAAGGGTGGGCTTGGCCCAGTGATTGAACTCTTAATTACTATCTCAGCTAGTAAGTGTGAGTAATGGAGGCATGATGGAATAATGGATAGTGGCTCGGATTGAGGAATCGGAGAGCTGAGTTTGAATTCCAATTGAATCCATTACATTCACTTATGTGCTAATACCCTTAGGAAAGGTATGAATCCACTTCTCCCCACAGCTATGGGTAAATAGCAGGACAGACTGGGTTCTATAGTCTTGGATGGCAACTGGTCTACTACAGAAAGAAATGGCAACCTACTGTAGGAAAAAAATCTGCCTCGTCAGTTATATATTGAAAGATACATGATTGCCTAAGCGTATATCACATATGACACATAACTGACTGACTGAGTAATACCTATAATATAGTGAGTACAGACCTGGACTCAGTGGGAAAGTAATAACTGAGCAGTACTAATGTTGTAATGTACAGCAAGAGTAGGTCAAGATTTTGTCAGGGGGGGGAGACCTAACTGAGTGCTCTCCCAGCAACTACTGGGGTATTAGGGAAAGAAGGGAAAAGAGACGGGAGCTAACAAAAATAACACTGCCTTAGAAACCACAACAACTTGAACAAAAATGCTCATAGGACCAACTTCATAAGACAACAGGTCTTGCCAACTGCTGATTTTTACCCCTGCTTTTATTGGTATGAGGCATCTTACAAAGATCTATATCGACCAGTTGCAGAAAGGCCTGTATCTAGATATGCAAAGCTGTCCTGCTGCTAATGTGGAAAAATTGGATGTAACTGGTGTTGGCAAACATATCTGCATGTGATCCCAGTCCTCTTTTGTGTCTGTACTGATGCACATTCGCCACAACTAAATATCTCTAGACATGGGTGGCAAAATAAGAATTTACTCCTGCAGATTGAATAAAGGGTTCAGTTCAAAATTCATTGAAGGTTACCCAGATTAAAAGACACCTCAAAAAGGCTAGAGAGTACAAGAGCAAAACATTGTGATAATAACAACAAGGATGGAAACATTAGTTTGAATGTAATTAATAATAAGTCCACATTGCAGAAATTCAGTCACAAATAAAATGTTATCTATCCAAAAGTCTTCTAAATATGAGTTAAGTTATAAAACCCATTTCCTGCTACTATGTAAATGAAAGATGAAATTGTCATATTTATTGGAACAAATTTCAAAACTCCAATTTATCCAATAATCAAAAATTGCATAGTATACAAATAAGATGAAGTCAAAATTACCTCCCACTAGAAATAGGTACCGCATTTGATGGTATATAACTGCACCCATAAGTACATATATATATATATATATACATGCATATGCACATATATTTACACATATACAAATATAACACACAAATATGCATATACAAATACATTTACATTGTTTGGAGTTTCACTATTTGCTATTGAATATATATGTGTGTGTGTGTATTTAGGTAGCAAATTCTTTTTTTTATTCAATAAATTACAAACATGTTTGCTTATTTTTATCATAATCCTTTCATATTCACAAATATTTTTCCGCATATTACAATTGAATGGCAAGAAATTCAATTATAATATATGGAAAAATATTCGTGGATATGAAAGGATTATGATAAAAAAAGCAGACACAATGTTTGTAATTTATTCAATCAGACACACACACACACATATATATATATATATATAGTGAATGAAAGTTTTAATAAATTTCAAATCCTACCTATGATATCAATCACAATTTGCATAAATTTTATATATGAAGTAGAGATTTTTTTTTTTTAAAAACACTATTTGGAAGTTCCTGGACTTTTAGCATAAGAGAAATACGAAGACTGAAAATAATATTAGATACCCAGAGAAGTGAAGGTTCACCATTATTATTTCTGCTCATAAAATGTAAACTTACTTTTGCTTGGTAATATTTTTCAAGCCATGCTTTAATTACAGAAGATTCTGCTTGCAGCGTAAAAGCCATCTGTGGAGTGTTGTATTCATTAAGTTGGATGACTAAGATAGAACCTGAAATGATAAAAACAGAATGTTTTTAGGATGTGTGCAATATTTATGAACAGAATGATATCAAAGAGAGCAAAACAAATGCAGAAGGATGTATAACAATGTTTCATAGTCTATGCAAAAGAATTTAATATGGTACAACACAAAGAAGTATTTGAATTACAAGAAAAACTTCACTTATTTGGTAAAGATATTGGAATAATTCAGAATTTAAACTGGGAACAAATCACTTGCATACAGATATATACAGGGAATTGAATAAGTACACAAAAATAGAAAATGGTGTAAGATAAGGATGCATTTGACTGGATTTATTCAACCTTTACAGAGAAGCAATCCTAAGAGAACTTGAAATCCTACTATGATTTATTATCTGTGGGTACAATCTTAACAACATAAGATATGCAGATGGCACTGTGTTGATGGCGGTCACAGAAAGAAAACTGCAAGAACTCCTAATAAATGTAGCAAATGATAGTAAGAATAAAGGACTAACTGCCAAGGAGATAGACTGTATTGTTGTCAGCAAGAGAAAGAGCCCGAAATACGAGTTACAAATTAGAAATGTCAAAATAAAGCAAGTATATAATTTTTAAGTGGAAAGTGTTTTAACAGAGGACGGAAAATGTGACACTGAAATCTGAAGGCACATTGGAATAGTGAAAAATGCCTTCTAAAAGCAAAGCAAAATATAAAGAAACAAGAAAATTTCATTAGAAAAGAGTGCTGAACTGTTATGTAATATCTATCCTCCTATACGGCAGTGAATACTAGATAATTTCTTCACAGACAAAGAGGAGACTTGAGGTAATAAAGATATGGTTCTACAGAAGGATGTTGAGAATACCATAAACAGAGTATGTAAGCCATGAGGAAGTTTTAAAGAAAATGGAAACAAAAATGATATTATAGAATGAGAAAGGAAGTTGAAATTTCTAGGACAATTAATGAGGAAAGAAGGATTGGAAAATTTAATACCGACAGGGCATACTGAAGGCAAGAGAGGACAGGGTAAAACAGAAAGTAAGCTACCTAATGAGCTTATATAAATGAATGGTACAACAGGAAGTAGGATGGATATTAAAAATTAAACATTGCTAAGAGTTACAAAGGATAGAAAATTGTGGAGAGCCATGATTGTCCATGCAGATAGTAATAGTGGGGAGGGCAAGTGAATATTGAATTAACAATTTTTGTGAGATAACAATGATTTTTCCAGATACAAGTCCTACTATTCAACCGATAGCTGGAGAGGAAATGGCTTCAAACTTTCCCCAAGACTATTTGTGTATAAGTGAATGTAATAAACTTGACTAGAATTTGAACTCGGTTCTCTAATTTCTCATCTGGAGCCACTATCCATTATACCACCTGCACATCTTAGAAGAAGATTAAGAAGCAGTTGGAAGAGAATGGCAGACAAAAATGTATTTCATTTTCTTAACATTGCATAAACTGCCTCTGATCAAAAAACAACTGACATACTTAAAAACAGTTATTTTAAAATATATCAGATATTTAGCTGTAAAAAACATGTATAATCATGTTGAAAAACACTTTTGTTTAAACAAACATGTAGGAAGATATCAATGTTGATACAAACATGTAGGAAGACACTAATATCTTGAAAAGCACCTTCAAACAGAGAGGTAAGAAACCAGAGATATGTAGAAAGACACTGATGTAGAGACAAATATCTTTATACAAACATGAAAGTAAAGAACCAAAGAAAAATATGTAAAAAGATAAACACTTGAATAATGAAAAATATGAAAACACATGCACAAACTTATAAATGAACATGTGTGAACAAATATGTTGTCAGGTTTGATATACAATTGCAGATTTTAGAGTTTTATAACTCTCAAAATGTTATATTTTAAAACAATAGAAAGTTTTGAGATAATTTCTTTTGTGTATTACCAGAGAAAGTATTGAAAAAGTTCTTTGTCCAACCAGATTCCCAAAATGTAACCATGTGACAAACAACTGAAGTTTGCTGGTAAGGGCTTCTGAGTTGGGCAAGGAACTTTTCAGCACCCATTATGAGTTCTTAGATAAAGGGTTTTCAATATACCACAAATGATTCAAACTAATATCCTTATGTTTACTTTTTAAAAAATTTTTTTAACATGGAATCAACTCAAAAAGCAACCAGTTTGGTAGTCATGGAAATCGCAAATTTCATACTTCCAATAAAAGTTAAGAGATCATCATCATCATCTTGAAAAGAACTGACAAAAGAAAAATAATGTATGAAGATGGTTGGAGAAATGATTAGCTAAAGTTTGGAAGGATAATATAAATAGAAACTCTGAAAAAAAAAAAAAAAAATTGACTCCCTCAACAATGTTTGTTTATTGATTTAAAAGCAATGATTAGAATTTTAATAAAACCCCAAACATATGAAAGTAGATTTATGTTTTCTTTATTCTTAATCAACTATAATCAAATATTTATTATTTACCATTTTATAAAGAAATAAATTTGAAAAGGAATTTTTTTATTCATAAGTTTATAAAATGTCTGAACAAGAAAATATAATTAAACACTTAATGCCAAGTAACTATAAATTTAGAAGAAAATGCATTTTCTGGGCATTTCTTTCATTTGTTCTTGCAACATAAATGAACTAAAAATAGGTTAAGAACATCTCTTCCTCTGAACCAAACATATTTAATTTTAGGCAAGAGCACAAACACTCAATATTTTGATTGTGTGGACAAAATTTTCCTTGTGCATAATTACAAAATGTCTAATTTTTACATCAAATATTGCATTGGTTTACATATTTCAATAAGTTTGTAAATTTTATAAATTTTTTAATAAAATGATTTCTTTTCAATCTATTTTTTTTATAAAATGTTAAATAATAAATATAGTATTGTTTGGTTAATATATTTTTATAATCTTGTAAATAAACATTGCCAAGGGTGTCAAAAGTGTAATTGGCGGGGGAGCTAAGGAAGAAAGGTTTATTCTCCTTTTTGTAATTTCCCCTGTTATGGACATTATTATATCCATGATATAATAACACATATATTTCACAGATGGAACAGAATGGCTGAAAGGAAAATGAATGACAAACATGCTTTGTTCTCAGAGAGACTTTTATATCACTAAGACATACACAAAACTATATATACATATATACAAGTGTCCCATACAGAGAATAATATATCACATATCTACACAGCAAAGCAGAGTGTAAGGAGAAGAAAAAGGAAGAGTCTTACATATATGGAGATAATCCTGTGTCTGGAGAAGCCATGTTTAAGACTTCAGACTCAAACAAGCTGGATTCATCTATGTCCCAGGTGAGGACATATTCCATAAATGGGAAAAAGCAAGCTGGGTTTCTTTCTATATCTAGGAAAGATATATTCCCAATGCAAAACAGCACTATGATTTAGCATCTACCCAGGTCATGTGGGGCCCAGGCTAAAGAAAGCAACCTTACAGTAAACAAAGCTGAAATTTACTGCCACTTTTGTCACTGTATGGAGTGACATCATTAAGTGCTCTCTCATGTTACCCATGTATCTTATCTGCACCAAAGAGAGATAATTGCCTTCTGTATCCCTACACAGTAATAGTGATGTCAGCCTTTTGACACCATTTTTATTTTGGGCACAAAGGTTAAACATTTCCAAAAATTTCCATGAAGAAAAAAAGAAAAAAAAAAAAAAAAGAAAGAAGCAAACAGAAAAAAAAAAATCAAAGATTTTACTAAAACTAAAGTAAATTGAAAATAATTATTTTTCAAAGAAATTACTCTCAAAATCTCAATCAAAAGATAGAATTTTTTTTCCTGACAAATTGTTTCATGCTTATTAATTTACCTTTGTCTTTCAGTTCTTTAACTGAAACGTAATTGATTCTGATTGGAGGTTTCAGAACTTTCAGGCGTTCATTGACCTTTTTGCTCTTACATATGAGGAAGAGATCAGTGAAAATGTAACATTCGACATCCAGCTGAAATACAGAAAAAAAAAAAGTGTAAAAGAAGTTCAGTCATTCAATTTGCAATGTAACAGCACAGACAGGAAAAGAAGAATGAATGCTGTGAATTTATAACAGGTTTTTGTGAAGATGTTATCAAATGTTAATTTTAAACTAGTTAAAACAGTAGAAATGTAAAGGTTAAAAATAAAATTCCTCTATATCTACTAGGGTACACCAGTAAGTCAATTCTTAATTATATGATTGCTACTTTTGACTTAGAATTACATGCAGTGCAATTTTTTGAAAATCATGCTCTCTTTCCCTTTGATTTTGGAAGCAATAACATGTGCCTTTTTTCTATCTCTGGCAATATCCATGGCATGTAAGCACTTCTGAGACATCAACTGAAGATGGTTTTTTGAACAACTTCATTTGAAGTTCCTTTCTTGACCATCTTTTCTGTAATCTTGTTTTGTTAATACATTTATTGATTGTTGTTCCTTTAAAATTAATGACTTCCTGTTTATTTACTTGGACTCACATGAGGCTGTAAAATATTGTTTATGGGACAAATAATACCAATAGTCATAAAAGTGATAATTCATCCCATCTTGCAATATAATGATGAAAAAAGCATTTATTTTGCTCAGTTTTTAAAAAAATAATCTTTCTTATCATTGCGCTTACCATATTTGATGGGATATAAGAACTCCTTCTATTCCACCAACCACAGAAAAATGTCTCAAAAAATATCTCCCAGGACTCATATGGGAAGTTGAATTATCTTGCATGTTAATGTTTAACCAGGACTATAAATTCCAACTAATTGTATTTAGCCTATTTTTATTACTTCAAACATTTTTTTTCCTCATTTTTATTTTTAAACAGTGTGTATTTGTTGTAATTTAGGGAAGGTTACTGAATAGAATAATCACACAAAGGCTGGTAATGAACGATAATACTTAGGACAAGAACAACACATAAGATTCACCAGTGGCATGGAGAAGAAGTAGTCAACTGCTACAAGTGAGTCAAGTGAATTCCACAATGAATCTCCAACTGTAGAATATCTACCAACCACCCCACGCAGTCAGATGTGGCACAAGGCCGAATTTAATGTGGGGTATCCAAGCCCGTATGCTCAACCAAAAATTCCCTGTAGACCCTGTATAAAATAGGGTTGGGTAGCTGTTTCCTAAGACAAGACTCTGCCCTTTGACATAGTCTTGTCTGGAGATCCTCTCTGCTCAGAGACAGAGTTTGATCAGCACAACTGGAGACGAATCCCCAACTGCAGACCAACATACAGTATTAACTACTGTATTTATGTGACTGGGGACATATCCAGTATCATCTGTAGGTATGCTACAACAGTATTATATCTATTGGTCTGTATACCCAAGAAAACTTAATAAAAAGAAATGTGCTTTCAGGCAGGGTCTGAACCTGTGTCCCCCTTTTTAGAAGAAACCACCATTTGATCTGGTATGCTTTAAACTACTTGTCAGGTTAAAAATAAACTCATTAATTCTTTAGAAATGACTATTTCCATAATAGTGTCAATTTAACTCTGTTAGCATTCAACCTGCCCAAACCTGCCCCATAGATATCAGCTCTCAAAGTCTTACTCTTTGCATAACTTTCTGTGTTATTTGTGATGATATTATCATATATTATGGCAGAGTATACATGGGGCGGGTTACAGCAGATTGAACACTGAGATGATATTTACGGGCTGGGTTAAATGGGTGTGGGGTCTTATGTGACACTAAATGCAAGTGGGGGTCTTACAGGACACTAAATATGGTAAATCAGCGGTGAGTATTAATCACTGAGAATTTTTTTGTACTATTGTTCACTTAATAAAAGGCTCAAAAGCCATTCAAGGTAGAGGATTACTGAATGAGACTGGAGGAAAAGGTGCATATTATGATATTAGTAAGACAGAACCTAGATCTAGATTGTAATGGTCAGGAAGCATACACTCAGGAGTCTTTTTCACAAAGCACCAGCACTGGGGATAAAGCTGGGGGAGTGGAGCTTTCTCCTTACCCAAGGAATACAAAGGGAATGAGGATCATTTGATACCACATACATGTCATGGTAGGTCCTAGCTGTGAAAGTCTGAACTGGTGAAACTAAGGAATGTAGGTCATCTGAAAATTGGACACAATAATAGCGAGGGAGTAGTGAGAGTCTAGTCATGTTTCAATATTCTGTAGGAGGGTCTTTTTCTATGTTCTGTGTCCTTTCAGTACATTGGCAATCATGGCTCGCCACAATTTCCTGTCCTTTGTAGCACTTAATAAATTTTGGCTTTTTGTTATTTCTTCTAAACCCTGTTTCATCATCTATTTACTCAAGCTCACTAGGTAGGTTATACTTTTTTCATCTCTCTTGCCTTCAATCTGTCCTGTGAGTATTAAATTTTCCAAGCCCTTTTCCTCATTATTCAACTAAGAAATTTCAACTATCTCTTTCTCATTCTAAGTATAAATGTCCATTTTCTCTAAAACTTTGTCATTGCTCACATGTTTGGTATATGATTTTCTCAGCATCCTTCTGTAGAACCATGTGGCTTCCCTCTGTCATTTCAACAAATATTTTCATGGCAATTGTTCTAATGACCCTTTCCCCCCCTACATGACTTGACTACATGAATTTAAGCAACTAGGTCCCAATATTTTACTGTTGAACTAGCTTGATGCAACTGCTCCTTCTATTCTAACAGTTTCTTTTCTTGCACTTATCACCTGTGGAACTCCCTTCCAATTTCTTGCTTTCTTGTAACTACAATCTTCAAGATTTAAATGCAATCTCAATTACCTTTTACCTTCTTGAAACTAGTTTCTTTATTGTCCTTTCTTCAATTGTCTCTACTAAAGTCTTTTCATTCTCTTTCACTTCACACTCTGTAATCCTATTATGCTTTAGTGGTATTATCGCCTTACTTGGGGGTGAAACGATTAAATAAAATTCAGTGCTTAATTATTCATCCGTGCATTGAATACTGTTGCTATAACTTGTGTGGTGCTCATGTTATATATCTCAAGATTCTCAACAAAATCTAAAGAAGGGTCTACAATATAATTGGTACTGACCAGGCATCTTGATTTTAATCACTTTTTCATCGACGTGATGTTGCCACCCTCTGTCTTTTTTTTTTTTTTACACATATTTTCATAACAACTGCTCTCTTGGTGCTACTAGATTGGCATCTAGGTCCCACAGGTTTACTGTTGAACTAGCTAGATGCATATGACAATTCTACTTTAACAGTTTCTTTTCTCGCACTTTCAACCTGTGAAACTCCCTTCCTATTCCTTGTTTCCCTGTTAACTACAATGTTCAAGATTTAAATGCAATCTCATTTAGCTTCTGCTGTCTTCTTGAACCTTGTTTCTTTATTGTCCTTTCTTCAATCATCCCCACTAAAGTCTTCTCATTCTCTTTTACTCCATCTAACCCCCTGCATCCTATTGGTGTTATCCCCTTGCATGGGGTGAAATTAGTTAAAAACCAATAATAAAACATATTTCTGTTGCTTCAAGTTTCTTCTTCATCTGTCAGAAGATTCACTGACATATAGGAGGACTGAGATTGTGTAACAGTTCAGTAATTTTTGTTTCTAACAAAGTTTTTCCATTTCTTAATACTTTGCTTAGCTTTTGGAAAGCACCTTTCACAATTCAAATGCACCTTAAAATAACTAGATTGCCATTTGAAACAAATTGGTTTTCATGTTCAGAATTATAAGGTAATACTTCAAGATTTTCCAAATATTCAAGAGCCTGATGAACATTCATATTTTACTTTGCAGCCATTTTCAATAGCACAAATACCAAAACTTTCCAGACGTCTGTTTGTCCCTGAAATTTCAGGCAGAAAAGCATACTTTCATCTAATTAATTTATGAACCTGATGTAACAAAAAGAAATAGTGAACAAGTGTCATGATTTATCTCATTAAGAATTCATTAAGTGTTAATTTGTTAATAGTTTCAATAAAGCAAGTATTTCTTATTAAATAATACATGTAACCTCCCACCAGGTAGGCAGCTGAAGTTTCTGGGACACATAATGAGGAAGGAGGGTCTAGAGAATCTGATACTCACAAGTCGAATAGAGGGAAAAAGAGACAAGGGAAAATAACGCGTGACATACCTGATGAGCTTGGGCAGGTGGATGACAGAACATGGTCTGGGGGAGGAAGCAGGGAGAAGGAACTTGCTGAGAGCTGCAAGGGATAGAGGGAGGTGGAGAGCCATGATTGCTTACGTCCTGAAAGGACATGGTACATAAAAAGAAAAAGAACCTCCCACCTCTGACATCAGTCTAAACTAACCGTACAACTCAAGGACAACTGCAATCAGGATCATAGAGTTATAGTGAACACCACAAACCTTGTCATAAGCTGCATATGTACTTTGCCAGAGAAACATACAGTTGTGAATTCAGAATTGTCCTTCTTCTAGAGTTCTTGCCAATCAAAGTTGAAGAGCCTTTTGCCCAAACATTTGACTCATATCTGGGGATTGTGTGAAGAGATGCATTCATATTTTTCCCAAGGTTATTTGTGAGAAAGTAAATGTAATGAAACTTGACTGTAACTTGAACTCAGCTCTCTAAATTCTCATTCCAAGTAGCTATCCATTACACCACCAGCACATCCTCAAGTTGCTTAGAGTACGCAGTGTTCTCAAACGAAGATCTACTTTACACACTGGTTGGCATTGACACTGCTTAATTTTGGTAGATTGAATGATACAGTACTAAACATTGCAAAATCCCTAACCTAAAAAAACGCAAAAATTATTTTTACTGAATCTATCATAAAGTTGAGTTATTTTCTGGACACAACAAAACCAATTTTTCAGAGATTTGGCTGAAAATTTAATTAGTTCTAGATTAATGAATATTGAAGTTCTAAAAAAAAAAAAAAATCTAAAACTAGGATCTTGTAAACAGCATGGACCCTAAATTTAAGATGAAAATTTTGTAAAGCAAAAATTTAATTAAAATATATTGGAAATTTTCCCAGTTTTCAACTGAAATTAAGATAACCACTTTAAGCAAAAATGGTTATAACAAAAGGAAAAAATAATGCATCAGTTTAAACTGATGCCAGAAGTCTGATTCACATTCACTCCCAGTCTTTTAAACAGAAATATTTGTTTATCTCTTGATTCCTGTTTAAGATAAAGTTTATGGCTCCTTCCAAAGTCCTCTTGTTGGAGTTAGCTCCTCCTTTAGTTCCTTAACCATTCACCATGGGTCTCTCTCCCCTGGCTATAAATACTAGCTGACCCTTCACCTCGATCTCTTTTTTCTTCAGGCTTCATCCTTACCACCTTGCAGATGTGAGCTCTCACAGATACAGCATTTCCCAAATTCTGGGAACACGCTAAGAACAATACATGTACGTATTTTTAACTCACCACAACATAACACACACATAATATTTACCACACGCACTCTGTCCATGTAACTTGTAACCTTTAACTTGTTATTAATACATATATTTGTTTACATATATTTATCGGTCTTGTGTTTGTTTTTCTTTGGACTTAATTAAAGTCCAATTTTCTCATGTAGTTGGACCGGCTAGCAGGAAATTCTACCCACATGTGTTTTACATACTCATCACCCCCACGGTCCTCTACACTCTCATCCACTTTTACTCTCAGTAGCCCCTTGCAGCTTAGTGACATTATCACTTTGCTCGGGGATGAATTGATTAAAAAAAAAAAAAAAGGCTATGGGATAAATAGGTAAAATTTATTGAGAATGACTTTGATCAGATTTTGTCAAGAGATTTTTTGAGGTAATGTTAATGAGGAATATATAAAGTCTGTCCAGAAATTATCCAGCTATTAACAAAAAATAGCCTATCTAGGGCAATGGCAGCTCAGTTTCTTTCAAAGTATTTTCTCCAGTATCTCAAACACTTACCCCCAGCATCCTTCCTCCTGTCCACAAATCTTTTTTTTAGGGATTGCCATCAACTGCCTTCTTTCTAATCTAGTCTAGGATATGATATTTCCTCCTCTTCAATAGTGCTTTTAGCTTTGGGAAAATCCAAAAGTCAAAGAGAGCTACCTCTGAACTGGGTGGAGGCCTGGTTGATGTGATGCTTTGCAAAAAAGGAAAAAAAAAAAAAAAAAAAGAATAGGCAAAGATATTCAAAATGGCTGGATAAACTTATGGAATTCCCAGATCATCTTCTAATTTTTCCATCATCAGTTGGTGATTTACCTTCAATGTCATCTGCACACATTCAACATTTTCAGATGTTCTGCTTGTTGAAGACCTTTCAGAAGGTGGGGCCCTTTCAATAAATTTCTATTAGAGAAGAGACCTCTCCCACTCACCAATGAAATGTCCTAATTCACTGGCACCTGTCAGAAGAACTTTGCAAAGGCTTACCCTGGTTGTGGCATCCTTGTACTTGAGGTTTGCATGATGCATCATGATACGATTTTGTTCGGGTCCACAGCCAGGCATTGGGGACATCAGATTAAATTTTGCATTGTAATGTTGTAAATACTGTAAAGAAAAAATATGAAGACATTCTAAATTTGTTTTTAAAATAAAGAAAATATAAAAAGAAAGTTTTGCTTTCAGTTTGTTTAGATCCTAGATTAATTGATTTTATGGCTTATCAACCTTTTGCCGGTTATTTAAAGCCAGAAAATATTTTTAGATAGTAAGAATTTTTTTAGACATAGTGATTTTTACTGATACAAGTACTACTAATTAACCCATAGCTGGAGGAGAAGAGGTGGATTCTGATTATAAATCTGACTGGAATTGGAACTCAGCTCTTCACTTTACAATTCCAAGCCATTATCCATTATACCACCTGCAAATCTAACATGGAATTGCCAAAACAAGGATCAGTCAAAAACATCCCTGACACAGGCAAACATTGATCTTGTGACCTGGGTAACCATTGCTGCAAATTGGCCTTCCTTGCATTGGACCATCCAATAGGAAATCAAGATTTTTCAGTCCAACTGTCAACATGAAGAGGATCTGTCACATGCTGTCAGGAGGGCCTGACTCATCTAGCTGCATCCATCACCCACACTCCTCTGTGACTCCTGCACACCTTCAGGAGTAGGCTGGGCCTTCACAGTTATCTTTGTCACCACCACCTGAAGGGGAGAAAGGGAATAAAGAGAGAGGATGATGATCCCGATGGGAGCAGGCGCTGCTGCGAATGGAATGCCAAAGGAGAAGTAAAAAGACTCCTTAATTCCGGTTCTGGGATTTTACTCCAAAAAATAAAAGAGGCTGGAAGACTCTCACCATGTTTTTCTATGGCTGGTAGTAGACATTGTCACAGGAAGTGAAGGTATTCTGAAGTGTATTTGTAACTTTCCAATGAAGGTCCTGTCTCACTGACTAATGAACATTTCACCCAATGGTAAATCACTTGGTAGGTGATATTCTATTCTTCACATATAGGCTGGCCAAGAGACCACTGGCCAAGAGATGGTATGCAACACTCTGAGTGATCAACCCACTCTGTCATATTATATCATAATTCACTACACTTATATATCAATTAGCAAACATTTTTAAATAGTTAATCATACCATATCTTCTTACAAAAGATAGCATTAATTCAACTTATGAATTCTAACAAACCCTCCAACTCTCATATACCACAAAATGAAATATTAGACTATTGCAAAAGTTTGTGCCCTATTAAAAAATTAAAAATTAAATTTTACACACTCACAAAAAAGTATTTATTAGTCAAGTATGTGGTCTCCATTGTGTTTAACAATTGTCTCTCATTATTCTACAAACTTGTTGATGTCATTTTCATAACAATCTTGTTTTTGTTGGAAGAAGATTGAAAGGTAGTTTTTGATAGACGGTACAATCAATTTTTTTTGCCATTTCAATTGTTCTGTAAAGACTGGAACAAATGAAAATCTGAAGGCGCCAAGTCAGAACAATATAGTAGGTGCTTGAGGGTTTCCCATTTCAATTCTTTCAGCTTCAGTAAAGTCTGTTTTATAACATGTGGTCCTCCATTGTCATGGTGGAAAATTACACCTTTTCAATTTGTCAAAAATTGGATGTTTTTCTTGAATAGTCACATTGAGATTGGTGAGTTGGTCACAATACTTTTTTGTATTGTTTTGCTGGCTGGAGGAAGTTCAAAGTGAATTATCCTTCTGTAAACCCACCAAATAGACAGCAACACCAACACTGGATACAAGCCCACTCTATTCATAGGTTGTGCACTCACAAGCTTTTTTCCAACTCAGTTTGTGTCAAATGTTATCCTAAATGAGTACAATAGTCAATTTAAAATTTTGAAATTTGGGATTATTATGTGTTTTTATGCTTACCTTGACACACTCATCATTTGGTGCTTCAACTGCTTCATAGGAGTCAATCCGAGATGCCATTGCTGACAACTTTTCATGTTCTCGTCTTTGTCCCACAACAAGGTTTACATAACTAACAAAGGCATCCACTGTTTGAATCTTAAAATACAACAAGAAAAATAGTAAAGTTTTCATTTTTTTATGAAATTGTAAGATTAAACATCTTTAAACATTATGCAGATTTTTTTTTAGACATCTGCTGGTGACAAGATAAAAGTTTAATGAATTTTTCTTTTTAATGACATTTAAAAAAAAAAAAAAAAAAAAATGAAATTTTGGAAATGGACATTTTTTTTTTGTAAGATTCTCATTATTATTCTTATTACTAATAGTCATATTTTATTATTATTCTTATTACTAATAGTCATATCTTATTATTGTTGCTTTTTATCTCATTACTCAGAGTGGATAAGATCTTTAATATTTTTTTTACTTGTTTTCCTCCATTGTACTGTTCCTTTTTTATCCTAAAACAATTGGTCAATACTCTCTTCATTATTACTATTATTTTATGACTAGTTTTAGAATATCTTAAAATTAGTCCCTTTTATCACAACACTAGGTTAATACATTCTTTGGCTGCAACAATAAATCTGAACTTGCATCCCATACCACAAGAGCCTATATTTCATTGGCACCAATATTCAGAGCACTTAAAATGATTACTTAGTTAATTATTTTAGTGCATCATTATTTACACTATTTACATTGTTTGGACTGTTGTCCTCATTTTTGTTGCCATATTCAAAACGTTTTGGCTGTTGTATACACCAGCCCTTTTCAGGTGACTGGAACTGAGCCCTTTATTTTGTCCACTGAGGTAGATTGTTCTAGTTCCACATGCCATGCCTCTTCTGGATGTCACAATATCGGTTGTCTCCTGAATATGGCAACAAAGATGAGGACAACAGTCTGAACAATGTAAATAGTGTAAATAATTACAATACCTTATCTCAGAAATAGAGACAGATACTGCATCATTATAGTTACAATTATTGCCACATGATGCAAACAATATAGATGTAATAATACAATATAGATGTAATAATACAATATAGATGTAATAATACAATATAGATGTAATAATACAAAACTTATATAATCATCCTACACTCCCACCTCCTAATATTAATTTTACATAAATTTCTTTTATCTTTTATACCCCTCTTATGGTGGGCTATCTAACTAACAAGGCCAAATCAAACTAATCTGTTTCAACACTCATACACTTCACCATAACTGATAACACAGTATAATCCCTTGCTTGGGTTGAAAGGATTAAAAAAAGTTTTATTAAATTCCACAAACAAGATCTATCTATTCAACTTTTTATTATATCTTTCCCATTTCCAAATGAGGTGATGTACATTAGGACTGAAGTTGTGAATAAATTGTTCATTTTTTTATTTATATTCAAGTGCATTTTATTACAGTCATTGTAAAGTATCGGAATTATCAGTATAGTAAGCAAGATTTATTTGACTAAATTCTGGCGATTTATTTGCTGGAGTTGTAATTACTTAGCTAAGATAAATTTCATACAGATATATTCTTAGTTATATCTGAAATTTTACACACATACATACATACACACACACACACACACACACACACACACACACACATATATATATATATAATTAAATCTCAGATTGTTGTTATATGTTATGCACTTTTATTATTTATCTTATACTAATCTATTTGATTTCTTTATTAAGATTATATAAGATTACTTAAATCTGAATAATAGGTCAGATAAACAATTATGTTTGTATTATTAATTCTCTCATATCTTTGGAGGTCAAATTTTCTTTCCTTTGATATCCTTTGATTTCTTTCATGTTTTTCCTCCCTTCGTTCTTGTTAATATAATCAAAATCTTAAAGAAAATACATTTATCACCCACCATTTCCTGGAGATCATTTTTCTGTTCTTCTATTGTAGACTTTTCCTTGATACGTCGCAATAGTAATGCATATCGTGTCAGCCTTTGCATTGGTGTGATAATTATATCAATAAGCCGCAACCTTCGGCAAAGGTTAGTATTACCTTCCGCCCACTGCAACAAAACAGAAATATATGATCATTATGATAAAAAAAAAATCACCCAAATTTTGTTTTACTTTTCTTTTTTAAAAAAAAAAGAAGTCAATTCAGTTCTTTTGTTGTGATTAATTTTAAGAGAGATTAAGCTAAAATTAATCAAATTAAGAGAGATTAAATGAAAGTTAATCCTACAAAAAAATGATAATCGCATATTGTTAAATCAAAGCAATTTTCTCTTATTTGATTAATAAAGACACTTTGACACAGAGTATTTATTAGCAAGACCTTGACCATTGCTAGTGAGTAGTGATTTTGATTGATTGATTAGTTTTTTTATAGCCTATCAACCCTCTGCAGGGTATTTAAAGCCAGAAAATATTTTTAGATTGTAAGAATTTTTTTTCGCAGATAACAGAGATACAAGTCTTACTAATTAACCCATAGGTGGGGGGGAAGAAGAGGTGGATTCATACTTTTCTTAAAGGTATTTGTGCATAAGTGAACATAATGAACTCAACTGAAATTGAAACTCAGCCCTCTAATTAACAATTCTTAGCCATTATCCATTACACCATTGGCATATCCAAGTTTACAGTACCTGTTATTCCCAAGTAGTCACTGATCTAGGTACTGACTAGGCTCAATGTTGCTTAACTTCAGTGACCATACAGGAATCGTTGTTTCAATATGATGTGACTGTAAGCCAGTGATTTTGATTCTCATGGGGTACCCAAATACTAAATCTGATATTAAATAATCCAACAATGATTTTCATGTCCTAAAATGAACAAACCAACACAAACTGATGAATATATTTGACTTTGAACCACAAATGATCAAAGACAAAATCTTCATTTCTTGAATCTAAATTTGGAAAGATGCTAACAGTTTTTTTCAAAGTTTTAATTTTAAAAAAGACTATGCATTGTAATTTTGGTACATTTTAGTAATTTTTATTTCTTAAAATTTTAACGCTTCTAATCTTGATAATGACCAAAAGTATTGTGGAGAACACCAAGCTCCAAATGCCTGAATATATATTGATTCCAAATATGCGTTCTCTTTCACGTAAAAAAAGAAAAAAAAAAATCATTGTCTATGATCATTAACACATGTAAATACAATAATTAAACTGTATTTTAATCTGGAATTTTGACACTGTAAATGAAAACTAATAATGTCAGGTCAGCTGGTATTATATATATATGGTATTATATATAGCATTGAAGAGTGAATTTAAAATTTGGCCATGCAGTTCATGATGAATGTTAATGGTTATGAGAGAAAAAATAAAATTCTAAAATCAACAAATAACAATGTATTTAAAACTTATTTATAAATTAATTCAAGAATCAGCAGCAATTAATTCTACTGCTTTTCTCAGCCTTAACCCTTCGACCTTCTTTTCCTCTGTTCTTGCATGTTTTCCCTGCCTGTGTATACAATTAGCTTGAGACTGGTATATGGAAGCAGTGAAGAAATGGGAGATTTTAAAAATGATGTATAATAAAAAATTAATTATTATTACTATCCTTTTTGATAGTAAAAATTTTTTATTATAAAAAAAAATCTAACACATTCAGTTCATGTGTTGCATACATGACCCTTTGACATTGGTATTGTGCAGAACCGAGTTAGCGATAATGATTCTTTAGATTCAAAACCAAGTCTAATCATAGAGTCATCATTTGATGGAGATTCCAGTAGTAACACAACATTTCTTTTTTTGCATAGTAAAAGAAACTGGGTTTTTTGATGGCAGCTGTCTTGGCAAAAGAAAGACAACTCTGCATTCAGACTTCCTCTTACTTGCTTCCGATAACTATAATCTTCAAATATTCAAATGTAATGTCATCTGATGTCTTGATCTAGTTCCCCATCCTGTCCTTCTCTTTATTCTTTAGCAAACACACCTTTTTACTATTGCTCTCACTATGTAACTCCTTGTGTGCTATTGGTACTCCTACCTTGCTTGGGTTGAAATGCTCAGAAAAAAATAAATAAATAAAGGGAAAAGAAATAAACAAGGGTGAAGGCAATAAGAAAGCACTTTGTTATCTTTCTCAAAAACAGTAATGACAATTCAGAAGTTATAGCTTTCCATAACAATTAATGAAGTTAATGGCAATGCAACAATCATTTTATTTACCGTGACAAAATTCTTGAAGTATTCATTACTCTTGAGTTTCTCTTTTATGTAATTTTGGCACACCAATTGCTCAGCACAGAATCTCTGATAAGGATAGAATAACTCTGGGAACTAAAAGAGAAAGAAAACAGAAAAAATAAAATGGTTTATAATTTTGAAAGAATTATCTTAAACAAAAATTGAATAAAACAAGATAAATCTAGTACAACTTCTGCTGCTTATTAACAAAATTAAAATGATATAAACACTTTAATTATTCTTACAGAAAGTCAACCATAATACACAATGTTTAATAAATGAAAATGAGGCATCTATTTCAAATAAGAAGTGTCAACTATAATAATGTTTGAAGCTATACATATATATATATATATATATATATATATATATATATATATATATGTGTGTGTGTGTGTGTGTGTGTGTAATTTCTCTCTATATATTATTTATATATTATGTATGTCCAGTACTTATTGGAAAGTGCTCAATATCAGTGACAGAGCTAACATACTTAGTTGTATTGATGTGAGTTTGTAACCCTGAGCTTGTCTGACGATTGCAAGGGCATGAAACCCAGGGTTATAAACTAACATCAATACAATTAAGTGTATATATGTTGTAAGAGTCAAAACTCCTAATGGTCCTCAACTAAAACATCATTGATGATGTGTGCTAAGGCATCATAATTATATATATATATATATATACCCAAGTATATATATATATATATATATATATATATATATATATATTTATTTGTTGAAACTTGTATAAAAGAGGGATTTCTCCCCAAATACAATCATTAAATTTCATGACCCAGCAGCCAACAAGGAAAGTAACACTACAACATTCAGAAAAAATGCAGTACCTTGTCAGTCATTTTCAATGAAACTTATATTAAAGAGGGATTGCTGCCCAAATACACAAATATATATTACTTATTTTAGAACATTAAAACAAAAACATGTTAAAAATTGCTACACAATTACAATCATGTGTGGATGCATGGCCAAGTGGTTAGAACATCTGCTTTCTGGCCATGAGATCTGGATTCGAATCCCAGCAACGTTGATTTGTCAGAGAGGTGACTTCTTGGTAATATGGTCTTGGAGAAGTGATCCCAGCATGTGGCACCTTTGGAAAGTGTCTGAAAACTATACCACACCTTGATAACAAAATCATGTAGACAAAAGTGTTTGGGAGCTGCCAATAGTTGTGCAAGAGCAATGTTACAAATCATTGTGACCAAGGCTTAACTATTAGGGTTAATGCTAGGGATATTTTAGTCTGCATTTTAAAATGTCTTGCTTTGTTGTTCTTGTTTTGAAAGCAACAACAACAACAACAAAAGAAACAATTAGCTTGTTACTACTCTATTACTATTACTAAGGCAGATGTTCAGTTGAATTACATTCCTTAATTTCACTAGCTCAGTCCTTTACAGCTAGGATCTGACATACTAGGTTGATGGTGGCAAATCATCCCCATTCCCTTCATGTTCCTTTGATAAGGAGTAAGTTCCATCTAGACACCTTCCCCAGATCTGTCACTTTGTGGAACAAACTCCTGAGTGGATGCTCTCTTGAAAACTACAATCTCCGTCTCTTCAAGTCCAAGGTCAACCAATATCTATCCTCCATATCCACTTCTTAATCACCTTTTTTCACTTACTACAATCTTGCTCACATGATCTTGAATGAACTTTGGGCTATGTATGGCGTGAACAGTAGAAAAAGAAAAGCTGATATCAAATAAAGTTAATATTTCTGCATTTAAGGAGGAGGAAGAAAAAAAAGAGGTTGTGAATTTGTCCAAGAAGAAAAACTCTTACCTTTTTAAATCCTTCCTTCATTAATGAAGGATCCAAAGGTTGTTTGGTCTCTCTTGACACCTGCAGCATCCGAGAAAGATAATTCTTCCAGAAAATACTGTTGGCATTGATAACATCTACAATGTTACTGAATAGTTTTTCACATTCAATCTGAAATGGCAAATATTCAATAATCATTTTTGCATCCCATAATATAAAGCATTCTTTTCTGGGATAAACTTCCTTTTTTTCACACTTATTTGTTGCATCTGACAAATTTAAAGACAAAACAATTGGTATCTTCTTGCATCAATTTTAACATGTAATGATTATTTAGTTCTAATGAATTGAATATTTTTATTTTCTATCTCAGCTACAGTCACTTCCTCACCAGTGTGATGTGGCTTCCCTCTGTCTTTTCTACAAATATTTTCATGGTAACTGCTCTGATGGGCTTTTTTCTCTGGTGCCCTGACTTCATGAATTTAATTAGGTTATGAGATTGGAAAGTAGGTCCCACTCTTTTACTGATGAAATAGCTAAATGCAAATCACCACTTCTACTCCAACAGTTTCTTTTCTCGCACTTCCCACTTGAACTCCTGTTGTGGTTTCACAGTGGAGGCTTGTATTTGTGCTAAGTCGGTCCTAAAATAGGTTCAATGCACAAAATGTTAGGAACTTGATATAATAGGTAATGATGCAGTAATCTAGTTGTGGTGGCTGATACTTTAATATCTGACTAATGGTCGTCTGACATCGACTGAGCGACTGACTCATTACTTTTACTACTCCTACTTATTATAGGTGGGAGAGTCTATTAACTATAGAATAGGTGTGTTCCACTATAACAACTCCTTTCTGTTTACTTGCTTCCTCTGGTAACTACAATCTCCAAAAATTTAAATACAACATCAATCACCATTTTCTGCCTTCTTGAATCCCGTTCATCTTTTGTCCTTTTCTCAATCCTCCTTATTCTCAGTCTTCTCTTTTAATTTCATTTCCTGTAACCCCCTGCACACTAGTGGCATTCCCACCTTGCTTGGGGTGAAATGATTAAAAAACGCAAGATCATTTTAATGAGCACAGAATTTAGTCTTTGAGTTGAAATGTCAAGGAGATTTCTGTCTTCAGTCATTTATTCTGTAATATTAAAATATATATATTCACCAATCAGGCAGTCTGATCCTCTACTTCTTAGTAAGAAGGTCTTTTTTTGTTAGCAGGAGGCATTACTTGATGTCTATAAGCAAATATATCCATATTTCTATAATAACAAAATATCTTTTTAGCAAGTAGGGGAAATTAGGCTGCTAATATATTGATTTTTATTTCTTTTGTTTTTTGTTAGCTTTCATTGGATATTTTTTATTTTTAACAATTTAAAAAGCAGGCTTTCTTCTTATATGTGAAAATTGTACTGATAAAAGTCCTTGAGTATTCATGCAGAAAATATTGCAAAATCACTCAAGCATTCCCTTCATTTTTTATGTTACAGGTTAAGTTAAATTTATTTGATATCTTTACTTTTAAGGATTTAAAAAGCATAATTCTTCCTTTCATTAAAAATCAGGAAGAAAGAAATTATCACTAGACAGGAAGCAATGTAAACAGATTGACAGAATTGGATTATCTAGAGAATGTGATTGCTTGCTTTGCAAATACTTTTGTTAAAGAATTACATCAACAATCAAGAGGAAAAGGATTGCCAGTGACCAGGAATTAATTCAGACATATGGATAGAATTTGGTTATTACATGGACAATGTGAATGCTTTGTAAATAATAGAAAATATTGCAAATAATAAAGAGTGTTCCAATAACTTGGACAGATTTGAAATGTGAATTAAGTTTAAATGTCTAAGGATGTTTTCTTTTTGTTTTCTTTCACACTCAACAACTTAAGTCTTTGGCAATTTCAACCATGGAAAGATTAACAATCAAACAATGTGCTAAAGTTTCAAGTGTACAATTGGAAAAATTGTTTGTAAGTTTAAACAAACTGGGTTAGTGGCAGATGTGAAAACACCATTGTGTGCTCATTTATGCCATTCAGCTGAAAACCTTGCTGCAATGCACAAGAATATGGTCGAAAATCCAGACCCCTTTATTCGTCATTGCACACAGGAATTGAATCTCTCTACAACAACATTACATTGTTTCCAGTTGCACTCTCAGTTGGTTGATTATGCTGACCAAAAAAATTGCAAAATGTGCAAAATACATTTCTGTTTGAGTATCCATTTTCGTAATAGGCTTCGATAACTTTAACATATTGTTTGATTGTTAATCTTTCCATGGTTGAAATTGCCAAAGACTTAAGTTGTTAAATCTGAAAGAAAAAAAAAAAAAATCATTAGATGCTTAAACTTAATTCACATTTAAAATCAGACCAAGTTATTGGAACATCCTTTATTTCTGTTTAAATGCATTGGAAATGAGGAAGAAATTAATGACCAGTGTTCAAAAATTAAGTGACATGTTAATGACAGAATTGGACTATTATAATAGATAAATATTCACTATAGAAATACAGTGAAGATGAGGAAGATCAGAGCTATTTCTAAAAACTAATGTGCCAAAAAAAATTGAGACAGCTACCTTATAGCATATAGCCCCTCCCTTTACTTGAATAATTGTGATGGGCATATCTATACAGTCACATTCCAGAGTTGTCCATGAACTGTATGTTGGGTGTGGCTTCAGGGAATTTATTGAGGTTTGCAACAAGTCCTATATATGTTCAAAAGTGAAGCTAGTAGAAAATCTGGAAAGTCGGTTGAGTGTTCGAAGAACCAGTTTTGAGTTACTTGTGGATGGTTATATTATCTTGCTGGAACAAACCATCCCCTCCAGGAAACATGATGAGTACAATGGTTTTTAACAAGATCTATGAATATCATACCTGCCAAGATAACTCCTGTTTAACTAGTGACTTTTTCAAACTCAAACAAACAGTACTTGTCCTGCATCATTATTGAATAATCACCAATTTGCATGACACCCTGGTGACTGGTTGGACCACAGTCTCATGCAGACCCCCATCTATATAAATTTGTCTGCCCAAAAGAAATGTGAACAAAATTAGTTTGAAAAGATGACATGGCTCTAATAATGACATTTTTGGCCCAGGTGATGCACAGTAAATGATGCAATAGTGTCAATAATGCTACCCTTATTGGTTGACACATATAAATCACAATGAAATAATTGATGCAATGGTGTCAGTAGCCCCATCTGACTGAGACTTTCTTATAGATGTCATGCATAGCACCAAACCCATTTAAAATATCTAATCTGTTAGCTAGAGACAACCAATTAATGATTAAATATAGATTTAAGTAAATGAAGATCTTAGCAAGGACCATACTTCTTTGAACCATATGGACTAGCACTACAGAATCATGAACAAAGAACTGTACCAAATAACAGAAACCACATTACTTGACGACTTTCAACAGTAGCAACAACTAAAATGTATAGCACATGTAACTCAAGGAGAAAAAAAAATGATATATTCAAAATTTTGACATTCCGCACAACTTCAAATAAAAGGTTAGGAAGGAAATTCCCATCAATATTGGAAAGAGCAATAACAATCACTGAACTTGAGAAACCCATTTTCTTGAAAAAGAAATAAAATAGAAAGGTTTTTATAAATTTCAACTTACTAGTACTGGCTGCTTGGACAATGAATGCTGAATATTTCCTTATAAGGAAACAACTAATATCACCATTACTGGTTGAAAGCTATAAAATCCAAAGGAAGAATTGACGCAATTGTATCAATAAACCTACCCTCCTTGTTGGTTGACAACTAAAATACCCATTGGAATAGAGCAAATGGTGCATTGACTGATGGGTTGAGTAGCAACAGAATAGAATTGGGATGTGATATGGTTACTGTCCTTGTCACTTGTTCTTATATAGTTTTCCTGTTCTGCTGATGTTTAGAATTGACATAATTTTAGTATGCTCTTGCTACTGTTATCTGAGAAAAACCTAGAGTAGTTGCCATTTTAAAGATAGTATTCATCATTTTGGCCCCAAGAGTTATTATGCAGCCAAAGAGTGTTAAAGCAGGTTCACATCTCATAGCTACATTACCTCTTTACCTATTATATAAAATGACATAATAGGGGAAAAATGTAATGTAGCTGTGGCAGCTATACAGATGGGAATTAACACTTTTTACTGTATAATTAATAACCATATTATGTAATAAGGATGTATCTGTGACAGTTATGTGGACAGGAATTAACACTTTTACTGCATAATTTAGCATTCATTATGTAATAGGTAAAGAGGTAGTGTAGCTGTGGCAGCTATGCAGACAGGATCTAACATTCTTTGGCTGCATAATTAATACACATATCATGTAATAGGTAAAATGACAGTGGAGCAGTTGCAACTATGGAATATGGACAGGAATTAACACTTTTGCTGCATAATTAACAATCATTATGCAATCAGTAAAGAGATAGTGTAGCTGTGGCAGCTACAGATTCAGGCAGGATTTAACACTCTTTGGCTGTATTGAATTCATTTCTAGAAGTAGGAGAGGACGAAAAACGTCCAGTGTATTGCTCTAATTTCTTTTTGCACTACAGTTTAATTATTTGATTTAATTACTTCGATGAAGATTTAATATTGTTTCAATCTTTGACATTAAGTTTTTATTAAATTTGTTAACCACTTACCTCTTTCATAATTGTGGGAAGTTTATCCTGCACATTCCGCAAACAACACATAAATAACTGAAAAATAAAATTGCATAAAAATAAATTCTATATTTATCAACAAGGTTCTGTAATTACATCTTTTTTGTTTTCACTTTTCTTAGATAAATGAAGTTGACATGTCTTGAAATTTTAATTTACGCAATGATATGAAATGTCATATGGTTATATTTGTTGATTATTCAAAAATAAGTAATGGAAGAAAATGTCAAACAGCAGAATTGGAATTTTCTGGTATAATTTTGCATGTTGGCTCACAATTTTATTCTGATTTTGATTGTGTGTACAACTTGTATGATTTGCAAACAGGATTGAACTTGTTCTTAACTGACCCCTTCAGAGTGTGTCGCCAGTGTGTCTTAACAATCTCATGCCTTAATATCTTCTTTCTTTATTGGCTAAAATATTTTTATTAACTTTATGTAATGTTTAAATGTTTTTTTTTTATATATTCGACTTTATTTTTAGTTGGTGTGCATATTTTAGTTGATATCCCTGTTTTTTTTAAACAATGAAATTAATAAATGTTATATTCCGTGCTAATAGGAATATATACTTGAAAAAACAAGGTGGATAAAATAAGTAAAGTTTTATTGTAAAAAAAACAGTACTATTAGAATAAAAGTAAAAGTTATGCACAAGGTCATTGCAAGTCAATCCAGTAGTTAGCGCTACTATTGGAAGGTTAGTAGTTTTCACATAAGTTTATGTCTTACTCAACAGATTCCAGCTAATCTCTGTAGTTCATTGACTTAAAGATACTTATAGGTAGTTACTACCTATTAGTCACTCAAAGGGGTGACAGGTTATTCCATTACATCAATAACCAACCAAGATTGAGAATTTCTACTGAAGAAAGATTGTGCCTCTGAGAGTATTTAACCATATACTCCTTTTCCATTAAGGAAACCGCTTCTATAGACAAAATGCACTATGACCATTTTGGCCACAAAGATGACATTGATAGAACAAGTTTTGAATTACCTATTTAAGGAATGCATATCTCTCTTGTTGGAATTTCTGCAATTCTATATCTGCTAGCTTCAGTTTTGTACCCAAAATGTAAAGACTAATTCTTTAAATGATTTTTTTTTACATCCAACATTATTTCTTTATTACTATAAATTTTATTTTTTAGTGTGTACATCTGTTTCAATCACTGTTTTTTTTTTTTTAATTATGAAAAAGTGAAATTAATAACAACCAGGCTAGATTGAGAAATCGTACTAAAGAAAGATTGTGCCTGTGTAGGTATTCTGAAAGCAAAGGAAATGTTTTGTTGCAGATTAATTCCACAACACAGAGAACAAATCATTGTAAGTTCAGACTCAAATATCGGGGACAGAAAGAAGTGCTGAAAACTCGATTCGCAGGTACTATTTCACAAATCCAAATGCATGTAACCAGTCAGAAAAATAACTCACTCTCCGACAAATGCGGTAGCCAAAATACATCAATTTTTTTTCTCCTGATTCAAGAACACCAACTGCTTTTATCGTCCAAGCATTTTTTTCATTTGTTGACAACTGGGAGAGGATGCCAAATTTTTGCATATCGAAATACTTTTATAGAGACTCCTGTGACGGACTTGTTTTTAATCTAAATATTTCGTCTTCAGCATATCATGCGGAATGTGTGCCGTTTTTTTTGTAATTTTCTTTTCCATCGTAGGATACACAGGATGCGCTGTCGCTTGGTTTGACAAGGTAAGTTGCCGTTTTCTTCGCTATAACCTCCAATAGGAATTGAACCTATATCCTTTTTTTTCATAAGGGAAACTGCTTCTGTAGTCGAAATGTGTCATTACCAGCTTAGCCATGGAAACTGCATTGATAGAGCAAGGTTTGAATCACCTATTTAAGGAATGTGTATTTCTCTAGGAACTTCTGCAATTCTGTATCTACTAGATTCAGTGTTGTACTCAAAATGTAAACACTAATTTTTGAGTGGAATTTTTTTTTATATCCAACCTTATTTCTTATTACTATAAATGTTATTTTTAGTTATGTTTGAGTTATTGTTGTTATTTGATCTTCTTAAACAGTGAAATTAACAACACAAATACATGTATCCACTAAAAATAATGTTTATAGTAACAAAGAAATTAATTTCATATGTAAATTCATATTTAATTTGCACCTGATAGACCTCTTCCATCAGTAGTAAGAGAAATATAAATGTATATGGAATGATGATATAATTATCAACACCTATAGAATCTTCAGGTGTCCAGATAGTATAATTCAAATAATTAAACAGAGCAATGTCCATGTAATTTGCTGGAAGCCTACTAATTTTAGAAGAGAATTATACTAAATAGGATATTGCTTAGTTTTGAGCTTTGAATGAAACTAGAAAAAAAAAAAAAAAACAAACAAATATTAGAAACTGGAATTAAACAAATATTTAGCATAAATGAAATGCAAAGACTGCTAAAAATTCAAATGTCCACTTGGGAATTTCTCCAGATTACAAGAGGTGCCGAATCATCAACTGCCATAAAAACAACAACGGTATACTTTGAATCGATTACAGTTGCAGAAGTTGCTTGCAACAGAGGAAGGGTTAAGAATTTGATGTTATAAAGAAGTTGGCATTAAAAACTTACATTTGTAATTACTTTTAGAGATTCGATGTAGGCAGATTCTGTATATAAAAGTTCCCAGATCACTTCTTGCTGACTCTGTACCTCTTTTGGCAATTCCTGCACAATGAAAAACAAAAACATGTTAAATTATAGATTTTAAAATACAGTGCAACCTCGGTTCTTGAACGTCTTACATGTCAAACAAAATGGTTTTCGAACAGAATATTTGAGATGAAAATGCCTTGGTTATCAAACAAAATTTTGGTTCTTGAACAAAATTGCCGAACTGAGTTAAACCGAATGGAATCATTTCTTAGTTGACTGCTGTGTTGTATACATTCATGTGTTGTGCTTTGCTTTTCTAATTTTATTGTACTGTACCTTATTTTTTTGCCTTTTTAGTCCTCAGTCATGGCTCCAATGAAAGCTAGCAATGATACTGGTAAAGGAAAAAGAAAAGTTAAGAGAAAAACAATTGTTGATGATATTGTCTCTTCCTACTCAGTTTCATATAGCAAAATCAACGATCTATACTATTTTTATAAATGAAGAGACAATCATGTCTTTCCTTCCCTTTTCTAAACAATAACATCTCTTTCCTTCTCCTTTCACCTACGCCATCAACTCTCTTACATGAAGGTATGGTAAAATTGAAGTGTCCATCTATATTTTATCTGTTTAGTATTGGGTTTACTTTTTTTTTTTCTTAGATTTAATGATTTTCATTAGTTTTGTGTATAAACTTGTACACAATGTACTGATGTTAAAGTTTAAATAAGCAATCATCTTGAACCAGGAATGGATTAATCCATTTTACATTGATTCCTGTTGGAAAAATAGTTTTGGGTTATGAATGGGCTTCAGGAACGAATCAAATTCATGAACTGAGGTTCCACTGTATTTGTAAAAGGTTTTTATGATGAGTTTTTCTATACTTTGACTCTATTCCTGGTTACCAGTCAAAGTGTAAATTGTTCAATGTCTGAGTATGTTTAGCTTTCATATCTTAATGTCAGTTTGTGTTGTCATGTAATTCCTTTATTGATATATGAAATATATTTAATAAAAATTGTTCTTAGATTTAATAAGATTTTATTGATGTTGAGTTATTTGTTTTTATGCTTAATGCTTCTAGAATGTGTAATTGCTTTTTAAGGTTCATAGGATGTAGTGTTTTGGTGTTATTGGTAAAAATTTGTCACATTTTTTTGCTGTTTTATTGTTGTGTTGCTTAGTAATGCGGGATTTAATTGAACAATTTTCAGATAAATGGCATGTTAATCAGCATAATATAGTTGTTGTGTAACCAATGTTTTCTGAATTATTATTAGAGATACATTCTCCAAGTGAGCAAGTGAATTTATAGACAAAATTGGTTTATTGAAGTTTTTATAATGTTGGTGATCATGCTAGAGGTTTTTACTTTTTTTCAGGCAGTGAGATTAAAATGTATATTTAAATAATAAAGTTGAAATATATGTACAGAGTGCTACTGTATTTTTTTTGTTTTTCCAGTAATGACCAGTAATAATATATCTTTATCTATAAAAGGCAGGATATGTGTGTGTGTGTGTGTGTGTGTGTGTGTAATGAATGTATGGCTGCAATTTTTGACAGATTTGCACCAAAATTTACATGCACATGCTACCAAGTTAGCGGGAAGGCCAAGACTGACTTTGCATTTCCCAACTCCCATCGATAGTGGAAATAATTGATTTTTTCATGCTTCTATGGCAGTTTTCATGTAGTTTGCGGCCATTTTCTACTGGCCAGAGTGAGAGCCAATAGCTGGCTGCCACAAATAGGCAGGAAGATTCTATTGGTCAGTATGAGAGTCAGCGTGGCACTTTACTCCAATTGGCTCATTTGCTTGCTTAAACTCAACGTTGATTCTGATTCCGCAGAAGTGGGTGGAGTGAAAAAGTATTTGTTAATAACATTCTTTTTTCATTTGATTTTCCAGTTACGAGTCCTTTTTTAAAGCTTATCATTTTGTGTTCATTTTGTTTAGTTCTTTTTTCGTAACAGATTTAATGTTTAGTATAGAGCTTAGAAAAAATTCGCAGTGTGAGATAGGCAAGAAGTAAGGCATGTAGCAACATCAGCACAGCAAAGAGCACTCCTTTAAAGGCAAGGAAGGGCAAAAATATTTTAAGTCAAGTGATAGCAATTGCTGTATGAGTCGTACGATTTTTGAATCAAGCACAGGCAATGCCGGGCCATGCTGCTAGTGTATAATAACATCTATTTTCTATGTTCCTTTAATTCAGTTTCAAGCATTAGTCTTATAAGCAAGGATTTGGGAGTTTTAATTTTACTGTAAGGAAAATATTGTACTTCTTGTTGTATAAGGTGCTACTCCAAAGTTATCATGAATATGATCCATGTGATGGTTTTTCTCTAAGAAAAATATTATAGGAAATGCTGTCATTTTCTGATAGAATTATTTTGAAAGATGTGCAAAATGTCTGGCAGAGAGCACTGAATAACTTCATAAATGATCCAATATATCAAATTGTTTAAAATCCTTAGACTTTTGATCAGCAACTCATAATGTGCACATTTTCTCAAAAGTACTTTGCTTTGAAAATCACTCTGCAGATGAAGATTTGGAGCTGGGAATAGGCTACCAGCTGAGATGATTTGTATCTACATGCTCCTATTTGCCAGAATCGACCCTTACTAACTCCAGAATGAAAACTGTGCATGAGGAAAATGTAGAATTATTAAAAGATTTACTTAAGTTTTCACTGAATTGATTGATTCATTTTCTATGGCGTTGCTGGTTATTTAAAGCCAGGAAATATTTTTAGATTGTAAGATTCTTCATTTTCAAGGAGGGGGGGATGATAAAAATAATAGCTTAGTGACACAATTCTTACTAATTAACCTATGGTCGGGAAGAGAAAAGGTGGATTCATTTCTTTTCCACAGGGATTGGCACATAAGTCAATATAATGAAACCAATCGGAATTGGAACTTGGCTCTCTGATTCGAAATTCTAAGCTATTATCCATTACACCACCTAGACATCCAAGGTAATGGCACCTGGTGTTCCCAAGTGGTCACCCATTTAGGTACTGACCAGACTTGATTTTGCTTAACTTTACTGATTCTATGGGAACCCATGATTCAACAACAGACAGAGAACCAATGAAATATACAGAAAAAGTAAAATTGTTCATTATTATATATGATGATGATGATCAAAGGGTAGGAATCAATTGTTACTTTTATGTATCTATTTGCTTTAGGGTGATAGAAGTTATGGATAGAGAAACAAAGAAACAGAAAAAGTAACATTCTTGATTATTATATATGACAATGATTAAAGGGATAGATTCAGTTGTTACTTTTATCTATCTGCTTTAGTGCGAAAAAAGTTGTCAACAAAGAAACCTTTTGATGTCACACTGTTCATTATTAGAGATGACTTATCTTTTTTTTTTATTTATTTCTGTTGCTTTTTATGGCTTAAATAAGTAGTTTGTTTCATTTGTTTAACAGCATATCAACTTATGGGTCACTTAATGCTGAAATTTAATTTTCTTGGGAGCTTCGAAGTAATAAAAATATGTTATTCTGCTTTCATGATTGAATACACAGTAGATTTTGTGCATATACATATTTGTGTGGACATACTTATTAAGAGGCGGTGATATGTGTGTTTTATGTCGGAGTTTTGTTGAAGTTATTTTTGGAATATAATTTTATGGCTTTAACTACAGATAAAAATGTATTGCTGATCATATTGCTATAAAAATGTATTGCTGGTATTTTTCTACAAAAATGTATCCCAACACTTTCATAGTGTGTTTGTTTGGAGTTTCACCATTTGTCTATAGTTGGGACCCCAACAAGTGCTACCACCCCAGGTCAGAGTGGACCTGGGAACAACAGCAATTAAGAAGTGGTTCCATGCTCCTCAAAACCTTCAATCTCCCAATCAGAGGCCTTGTTGTTAGATGTAGTTTATCATCAAACTCAGAACTATTAAATAACTAGTGAAGATTGAAAAGAACACAAAGAATCAAACAAGATTTCAACACAAATTCCTTATCACTGTTGAAATTTTATGATGGCAACTGCTAGAATGCTATAATATATATATATATATATATATATATATATATATATATAGTGGCACGTGTCCAAGTGGTTAAAATGTTCACTTTCTGACCACGAGACCCAGGTTCAAATCTCACCAGGGTCGATTTTTCAGGAAGGCAACTTCCTGCTGTTATCAGACTGCATCGAGGTTGATCCCAGTGTGTGGCACCTGAAAACCACACAACAGGTTGACTCAAGCCTTCTGAGTGAAATTGGGTAGGTGGAACTCTTGTGGGCTGTCGATAGCTGTGCTAGCATGAAGCTACAAGTCATTGTGGCCGAGGGTTTGAGTGTGCTGGCCTTGTTCAAATTGTTGATCATGCTAGATAACATGCTCTCTTCCAGAAATTGTAACTAAGGTCTGCTCAGCATAGTTGCAGTATTAACCACTGGTTGGCTCTGTGGGTGTTGAGGAAACACAAATGTGCCTAAGCAAGCATCTGCAATAGGGATTGGCTAGGCGCCCTAGTAGACGGGCATTCTCTAAAACAAGTGACCAACTATTATATATATATATATATATATATATATATATATATATATATATATGTGTGTGTGTGTATTGGTCTGATTCCTTGTCCCATGGTGATAGTCCAAGGTAGAACCAATAAAGAAGAACTCGAACACAGGTATGGAATAACACAGAGAGGTAGAAGTGTTAGTACGAACAATCAGGTTTAGTAGAGAGAACAATGTAGTCTCGACCAGTATCACTATTCCAATGTCTTGCAGTAATTGACTGAACGTGACTCTGTTTCGAACTGCCTCTGACTCTACTCTTGACTCGAACTACTAACTCCTTGCCTACTCCTGAGGCACAGTATTTATTAAGTATGGAATAGTCCATTATTATTATTATGGGTAAGATCCCATAACAGTATGTATAAAGAGAAAAGAGTACATTTAAAATATTTAACTGTGTTAAGTACTGACAGAAGTCTTCTTCAAATAACACCTGTGTCTTGTTCCTCGGCAGGGGGATAACCAGAAAATGAATGAAAGGACTA